CCACTGGTTAGGGTCCAGGGTCCGAAGATCCTGGAAAATTTGCGTTATTTTACGTGATAAAAGATTGAGAGGTTTCACCACGTTAATTTCTATAAAACCTCTAACAATAAATCAACCTGAACGCAATGTGTAAACAAGAATAAATTTGGTGAGATTTCACTTTTCCTGGTTCCACCAACAAAGGGTACAATGATTTTATAATCATGAACCTCCGATAAAGGCTTATCTTAAAATATGTCTTAGAAGGAGGCATGTTGTTCTATTACCTACCAAGCTTGGACGTGAGAAAGCGTATAGTCTATTTATTTGATAATATCGCTTTTATATTATTTTCTTTCATAGTGTTGCGCCTATATATAAGTTGACGCAGCTAATGATGCACAACTATACAGCGTCTAATTTTAGATAATCTGATTGTATTTGTTGTCAAAAAATATTTTTACAAACTTTTAAGGTGGTAGCTTACAGGAGATAAATCAAAGGAAAAATCCAAAAGCCAAAATGTATTCGCGGTCGCTTATAGCGGTGGCTTATGAGAAGTATCAAATGCACTGATTAGACAAACGGGGCCATTTTGAGAGTGGAAGGGAGGTGATCGCTTATGGGAGGTATTCGCTCAAGGAGGTTAAACTGTATATTATACAAGGAAAGAGTTAATTTTTACCAAATAAAATTACTTACTTCTTCCCTAGACACAATGTTTAGGGCATTTATTCAAAAACACAGAAGCAAATATTAACAAAATCAGATGCAATATTAATTAACAAAACACATTTCTTTTGTTAAAAGCAAGATAAATATATTTTGAAATTTTCTCAATTAAAGTAAATTTGTCAGTTGACATTAAATTTATGAACTTATTTTCTGGTGGATAATTGTAAAAATAGCTGGTAATAATTTTCTCTTAAAAGAAAAGCAAATAATGGTGATCTTTGTTGGATACCATTAGTACAACTAAATACGTTACTAATTTTATTATTGATTTTAACTTGTGCAGATAATTTAGAGTACAGTACATTGAAATAACAGGGTTGAGAATTTTACCATTTAATCCAACTCTTTTTAAGTTTATAAATCAAAAAATTATGATTAACAGAATTAAAAACTTTTTTTTTAAATCAACAAACGCCATATAAACTCTTCCTCTTTTTTACATAAGTATTTTGTTATAATTGTATTTAAAATGAAAATATTGTCAGTAGTACGATAATCTTTTCTAAAACCAGCCTGTTCTTGGTAGAAAAAATTACTTTCTTCAGCCCAATTATTCATCCTATTATTAATAATAATCAAATATAATTTACACATAATGGGTATAAGGGAAATGCCTCTATAGTTTTTTTTGTATTTCTAGCACTTCAATTTTTAAAGACTGGAACTGTGAGGCGTTTTTTTTTTTTTATTGAATAAGTTGGCCAATGTTTGGATGACTGAGATGGGTGCATTAATATAGAACCTATTAAACCATAATTTCCTGGTGATTTTCCAGGATTGAGAGATTTTATTGCAATTTTAACTTCCTCTATTGTAATGCTATTGTTCCAAGTATCTAACTTGTTCAGTACCATTATGAATATTGTTATTATCATTATCATTATTAGCTTTGTTATCATTATTATTGTTGTTATCGTTATCATCATTATCATTATCATTATTATTATTATTATTATTATTATTATTGTTAATATTACTATCATCATCATTTTTTAATATTACTATTATTAATATTATTATCATTATCGTTATTTAGAACAGAATCTTGTAGTAAAGACCTAAAGTATGTGAACCATCGGCTCATGCTCATATAATTATTTTTATTTTCTTTTAGTTTTTGCCAAAACGATTTCAAATTATCATCATGTTTTTTTAAATTATTTTTATAGATGTTAAGTGCAACATGCGTACGGTTACTTCTAAATCTAATCAGGCTTCTTGTGACTTGTTTTTTTTTTCAAATATGTCACATTCGTTATCGAACCAACTATTTTTTTTGTGATTAATTTTTATCCTGTGTATCACTCCTTAGGCATTCTTTACAAACATATTTAAACGCTGTAGTAATAAGTGAGATTTCTTCATCTATAATACCTTCGGCAATAAAATAAGTGTTTTCATTTGCTAACTCGATACGGGTAACCAAATAGTTACCATGATTGTAACATAATGTTTTAAATTTCAACTTTAATTATTACTGTAATCGGGATATTTTGTAAATTTTGAGGGGGTCAGGACCCTCTTGACACCCCCCCCCCCCCCCTTGACCCCCCCCCCCCCCCGTCCAACTGCGCACACGGTCATAAATAACATCTGCATATTACTTTACGCAGTGTCTGGTGTGGATCGACAAATATTAGGCCTAGGCCTATAGCGCAACGGTATTGCTGGCCAATCAAGTGTATCACCAGGCCGAGGAAAACACAGTAGCGGTGCCAATGGTGGGACAGGGGGCTTAAACTCCACGGACAGGTTAAGCCCTTGCACGTCAGACCAAAACAAAACTTTTTAAAAATAATTTCTTTTGAGGTAAAATAAATACATAAACATAACATAGGCCTAGATAAAATGTGTAGGACACACAGCGGGCGGCGTCGCTAGTGTTAAAGCCCCCAGTGCAAGTTTTTTGCCGGGTCTTTTAAGGTGAGAGAGTAAGTCGGAGAGACGGATACATGGGTTCTTTCAGATATCTCCGGAGTACTTTTAGTCAGGGTACTTTTAAGTGTCACCTGATCGGATCCAGAGACAGAGCCTTGGTGGGGTATGATCAGGTGAAACACTTAATGCTCATTCTTAGCGCTATTTACAGCGTTGTAAGGCGTAGAAATATCTATGTACTTTAAAAAGATAAAAGCTTGCTTATAGATTATGAAGATGTATTATATTATGCATATAATAACCCTTTAACGATGCGAAGCGCAGGCGGCGAAGAACCCAATTTGGCGGATAAAACGTCAATATCCTGAGAAAACCACAACAACACATTGAAATACAGTCTAAAAGGCGGCGAAGAACCCAATTTGGCGGATAAAACGTCAATATCCTGAGAAAACCACAAGAACATATTGAAATACAGTCTAAAAGCAATAACAAAAGACACAACAGACGCAATAATAATAACAGCGTTAAACGAGTGAGTCTTAAGTAACTAAAAATATATTAAAAATTACTTTAATTTCTGTCGATTATTCCAGAGTCTCGAGGCGTAACAAGAAAATAAACATTCTACAATCCCTTATTATGACGTGTTAGGCCCATGGAAAAAATATTAGTTTATTACCCCCTCCCTCATCACTTTTGGGGAAATTCTGATTTTATTTTTCAATCACATATATTTTTATTTCAAACAGTCGTTTTTCCATCTTTTTTCACTTGAAAAGCTCAGGATTTCTTGCAAATATGTTTACTGGTACAATAAAAACATATTTTTAAATATAAATTTGATTCCATTCTTATGACTTATTAAATGTGTCCCTAACCATTGATTTACTTGTGAACATCGGTAGAATGGCCGGGCGGGGTTAGCCAAAAAACAACAAAAAAAAACACCTCCCTCCCTCATTAGCTTTTACTCTTTTATAGGGTGATAAACTAATAATTTTTGTTTATGGGGCCTAAGTTCTACATAGATCTATGTCTTTAGATGAGACATAAGATAACATAATTTACTTTTTACAGTCTCTCTCCCAAGGCCCAGGCTATAATTAATACAAATAAAAATATTAATTTTATTCTAATCGCTGGTCTCCACGGTTGGTGACATCTTTTCCCCCTTTTCTGGCTCCCACTTTGATGTTTGTAGCAATCTTGGAACATACTGGTGCAATAAACATTTTTTAATGTCAGGTTGTCAGAATAAATTACTGATATGTCTATTGTTACACTTGTTTCCGTGTAACATGTGTGACAGCGGCGAGCTGATTTGGTCTAACATGGAAACATCATATCACATTTCAAGAGGAACCCGTGTGCGACAGATTTAGTTAAAACAAGAAAACAATAATGATGGCACGTAATAAGTATATTGAAATGAACATAATGGCTATGGCTAGTAAAACTCTGGCATACACGCTTTACATAAGCATCATTCATATTGTCGTGACTATTTGATAAAAAAAATATTTGTATTCCCAAAATTTTATTTCCTAAAGCAGAAAAAAAACACACAAACAAATAAAGGAATCCCGTGCTCAGAAACACATAAAAGCACAAAGCAAACAAAGAAAAACAAAGGCAAAAGACAGGTTGACTAGAAAAATGCAATACAGTCAATTGGTGTTCATGGCATCATTTAAAGTAGTTCATTTCAAAAAACTTAGATGCATTGTCCCATGCAAAACACCCAAAAAATCCCGATAAAAATTACTTCCGAAATCAATTGGCCCATCCCGAAGCAACACAACAACTATCAACCCAAACAACACAGTGCTAAAAAAATGTCCACCCTTATTTTTTGCAACAAAAAGGATAAAAACACCTCCAGTTACCGGAAGTGTCCTCATCATTTTTATTATAATTATCAAGTTTAAAAATCAGGGTACATACTCTCCAAACCTATTAACAACACCGATGCCCAAGCCAACAATATGCCTGTCGCTGCAAAGTGAGCAGGCCAACTTTACACATGGGATTCGGTTATCAGGAAATATGTGGCGCTGTACAGTAATAAGGTACAGAAATTTACAACCTTCCCTTAATCAAAAACATTTCAAACATCAAAACATTTTTTTACAGACCAACATTTTTTTTTTGTATTCTTTTGATACAATAAAACCCCAGGATTATTCATTTAAAATCTACTATACAGATTGTTTTAAAATTTACCTATTTTTTATGAACGTACTGTTGGGGAAAGTTTAATAAAAACTTTTTTTTAAAGTTTAAATTTTGGCCTATTGAATGGTCCCTATAGCCCACTGCTTACACATTAATGAAGCTTCGTAAATATTAATTAACGTAACTACCGTGCGGGCGTCTTTATTTTGTTTTCGTTTTTAATTCAACAGTTTCGGAGACCATGCACAGTCCGAGAGTTAAGAAGAAAGATCTAATATCCATTGATTCAGCACAACTGATCAAAAACAAAAACCATGGCTACAGAAAATCTAGTAGTACTAATCCTGCACAGATTTCGAAACCAAGGTCCAAAGTTAACACTAGTTTTAACGCTAGGTTACACGTGACCACTCAAGTATATCGATCTACTCCTGGTTCAAGACTAGTGCCGCAACTGATTGTAGGGCAGTCAATGAAACGTCGTGATCTAGTACAGAAGACGAGAAACGTCAGTATGAACGGAGAAAAAAATGGAACGGCTAGCCCGCCTGCTGTTACGAATGGACACGGTAACCTGTCACCAGAGGCAGCCAACGGGGAGAGAAGCTGTCCTATGATGAGTATGAAAAGTAGGACACCTTCCCCGCAGCAGAAGTTCATAAGAATACAGAACTTTTCAACTGGAAAGCAGTATGTTGATACGTTACACCAGAAAAGGGAGGTAAGCAGATGCAGTTATGTCTCATCAGTCATATTAATAGGCCTAATAATAATAATAATAATAATAATAATAATATGGACATTTATATAGCGCTCATTACACAGGTGTTACAAACAGAAAAGACGAGGCATTTGCAGGGTCTCATATTCTTTTATGTAATGTTTTACTTTCGAAACCTGTTTACGTTGACAGTACTACGGTTACCTTTGTAAAAATTTAATGACAGGCATTCCTAAAAAAAAAATAATAATAAAGGGAAACATTTGGGCTAAATGATCTATTTAGGCCTAATTGATTTTTCTTGAATAAGTGCCGCTCTCAACGTTATGCGCCGCACAAAATGTGACTGTTTTCGCTGAGCACCGCTCTAGCGCCGCGGATATTATGACATTTCCAATAAAGCATTATGAATCTTTCAACTACAAACTCTATTTTTTTTTTGGCATTTTAAGATCTAATGGGCCTACGTAATTATATAATAGGCCTAGTTTTTTTTAAACTGTAGGCACATTTTGAATTATTGCAATTATTGCGGGATCTTTTTTAAACGTATACAAACTTCTGACAAGGATATTAGAAGTCAGTAACTGTAGGGTCTGTGTGATCGATAGAGTAGGAGATTTCATTTTCAGAAAGAAACATGAATACACTACATTACTGAGCCCTATGAAACATTCATATTTTGGAGCACCGACAGCCAAATGTATGGGGATTACACATAGGCAATCTGCAGTGGCGGATTTAGGGGGCGTAAGGGACGTACGCCCCCCTATTTTTTGCAAAACAAAAAGAAAAAAAAAAGAAAAAATTACACCCACAGTGTTTAAGTCTTCTTTTCCTACCAAAAAACCCACACAATACAATGCACAGAGGCTGCATTTGTCACTGTCAATTTCAGGTACCCTGTATATTAAAAATTCTTTTAAAAGACATAGGCCTACACCTATTTTTTTTTTTTTTTAAATTTAATTTGTTACTGAAAAACTACCACGCTAGATAGTCAAAATCGACTCAATACAACCTCATATTCCTCAAATGTGCTGGGTTCAGGGGGCTTCGCCCTCTTGCACCCCACCAGGGGCTCTTCCCCTGGACTCCCCGGGAGCCCTAGGCGGCCCCTGGCCCCCAGCCTAAGGCTGCTCGCTTCGCTCGCAGATTACGCCTATCCCCTTTTCTGACAGGCAGAATCCTCCCTGACCTTGATAAGAGAATGACCATTTGCGACGTGTTAGTCGGTAAATAAACGTGAATTCAACCCTATCATGAACGACAAACAAAAGAATATGAATACAGATAAAATGAAAACGTTTACGAAATGAAGCTAAATCAGAATGGCAATGTTCAATTAACATATATCAGTCCCACTTGTACATTAGGCCTATGTAATGCCTCTTTGATTAATTTAATGATTGTGTGTTGACAGAGCTGAGTCAAGTATGCTGAAATTATAGTCTTCAGCGTAATTTCAAGCAGTTTGTGAATTATTGTTTAGGTGTTTGTAAATGCTGAGACAATAGGTTAATCAAGGCTGTAGCAAGCGGTCCAGCTGGTCCGCTTTTGGCCTGACCAATAATTAAGCAATCGATATTGTTTGTATGCCAAAATTGTCATTTTAAAGCAACATAGTTTTTTTTTAAACAAAATAACAGTATGGCCTGACTCAGCACACATAACATGCACCTACACTCGTAAAGGATACCGTTTTATAAGTAGGTCATTTATAAATAGGTCTAATATATGAAATTGACTACAACAAAAAAGAATTTTAAAATGTTTTGGACTTTTCAAACATGGCTTTTTAAAGAATAATTATAATTTATATAAATTGCAAATTAATGCAAGTATAAAAACTTGCATTAATTTTTACAGATCTGACGTGTCTTTTCCAAAGATACCGTAATGTACCGCAAATTACGCTGTACAATCATTACATACATTAGTAAAGTTTGTCCTCCAATCCGGGTCCCGAATTAGAAGGTGCACTTTCCAACCATGTGTATATATATAATCATAATATCCGGAAATTCATGTATATAATTATTTCCATTCTATATTTACAGTATTTATGTATCTTGTATTGTATAAACCAAAGAATAAACAATTTAATGTAGGCCTATGTGTAACCCGATGTATATGTATAAACATAATATCCGAAAATTCGATAATTATTTTTTCCATTTTCGTCGATATAAACTTACCAGGCTGCGCACACAAAATTATAGACAAGAGCAAACGGCGACCGACAGGGGTATGGTTATGCTGTAAACACACTTTGAATATCAAAAGAAGTAATCAATTCTAATTTAACGTTGTTTTAATGTTTGTAAAGCAAACGGAACTTAGACAAATTTAATGTATATATTCTGTCTCCGATCGGGACAAAGATGTATTGGCCCAACTAGGCCTATTATGATATTTAAAAAAAAATACGGTAACATTTAAACCTTAATTTAATATATCGTGTTCCTTCTGCAATAAACAAGATGTATTTTAGGATAAATATATTTTCAGATGACTTAAGAATAACAAACTTGGAATAACAACAATAATGATATGGAATGAAACGTTTTCTCAAGTTATTTCGTGTTTTTGGTGATATCTGGGTGGCCCTATCTCGTTTTGCTTGCAGTAACCCACTTCAAATCACTCAAAGGTGCCACTCCCCTTGACAAAAAAAAAAAAAAAACCAACAAACTATACTATATTTTTTTTTCTTAATGATGGAAAATAAAGATTGATTGATAACTAATTCATAGCATTCTGATACCACCGTCACAAATACATTTCTTAGGTCCTATACTAATTATCTAATTTATAGAGTTGTTGCAACGTCACAAACACAATGTTACCTTTATTCCTAAAATACCAGACTGGTACAGGTATTACGGTTTATTTTGCAGTTGCAGCTGCAGTTTAACCTATTTTATTAAATGATTTGCAGTTTTTTTTTTGTAGCATTGTTATACATGCCTAGGGCCTAGCAATTGATCTGTACAAAAGCTAATCTAAAGGAATTTCAGTAATCGATGTACAAACACAATAAATCCATAGCATAGACGCATGAGTAGCGTAACAGCTATAAGCTCTCACTGGCTAAAGTCAGGCGCCCCGGGTCCTCAAGGGGCCCTAGTAAATTCAATTTATTTTTTATATATATCAATATAACAAACATTAAACTTTATAAAAACATTAAGCAATCACGTGAAACAAAAAATTAAACCATGAGCAAAAGCACTGACACATGAGTATGATACATATGTTTTTGTTCATAAATATTTATTGATTTTAATTGGCTCATTTTATTTGGTATTTATTGTAATATGTTTATTGGTGATATCTTAGTTAAAATTAAGTATGCTTTTTTGGGGTCAAATCACGATACATAAACTTAGAATTCGAATGTGTAAAAAAATCATTTAAATACGTCGGAACGCTAAAAACGCCAGAGAGGCCGAGGGCACCTCCCCGCCCCACCGGGTGCCCTTCGCGGCCCCCGGTCCCCAGCGTCTGTCGTCCCTAAATGGCCACTGCCCAGGACACTCCGGCCCCTTTGTTTACGCCACTGCATACACGTGGCCCGTCACTTAGATGGATAGCATGAGCTATTGTAAGACTTAAGACTTAATAAGACTTATTGTATTCTTCGATGAATAGGGCCTTTAGGTGTCTTCCAGTTTGAACTAGAATGTGTTAATTTTATATGCATTTTCTATAGGTAACCGTAATACGTATGAAGTACCGTTAACAGTGCCGGATCCAAGGGGGGTTCAGGGGGTTCGGACGAACCCCCCTTTGTAAAGAAATGTAACAAAATACTACTGAGTCCTGGCTTACAAAAGGTATGCTGAAACCTCAGGGGCGGATCCAGTAATTTTCTGACCGGGGGGGGGGGGGCAATCGGTATTCCACACCCACCTCAGCCCCACCATATTTGGGGCTGAGGACGTGAGCAAATTTTAAGAATAGGACCCTCTAGACGTTTGAAAATGGCACTCTCAGATGGTAAAAATATGCTTTTTCAAAGCAGTGTTCCTCTACAAAAAATTATTGACTTCCTCTCGATGGGAGCTATGCTCCCCCTCTTCCTCTCCCCTCATGGGCATCGCAAAGGTCTAATCAAGGACCTATAGTATATTCTATACTGGGAGTCGCAAAACAAATTATGATTTTGGTACCTCTAGATGCCCGGAAATGACACTCATTCAGACTTAAATACTTTATCTCCATTTTAAAATTATGTTTACAAATGCAGGGGTCCTGGCCGGCTGCGCAACCCACCCCGCTGGATTAATATGCTATATGTCCTACAGTCGATGTCAGTGACACATTATGCCGTTTTGTATCAGCAAAGCTCTTTTGGATCAGGGTGCCATAGAGCGAGGACCCTACTAGACAATATGGGTAAAGAATATCCCCCTCTAGACGCTCGGAAATGGCACTCTCGGACGGTAAAAATGCTTTTTGAAAGCAGTGTTTCTCGACAAAATTATTGACTTCCTCCCGACGGCAGTTATCCTCCCTCGTATGCTCCTCCTCCCTTAGACACCCCTGGGGCAGATGCAGGATTTGGCGGTAGGGGGTGCGTGAGGGTCCACCTCACTGCCCCCACCATGGTTGGAGCTGAGGGAATAGACAATTTTGAGAATAGGGATCTCTCAGGCGTTGATCCAGAGTTTTAGCTCGGTTTCCAAGAATCGCTCACCCTATCACCGACAGTCGTGTCAGTAATTGTGGTTCAGGTTGCGAAGGGCAGCTAGCAATGCACCCTGATTCGTCTGCGTCTGCAACGCATTCGGAAAAGTTGAACCAGGTTCAACCTTCCCGACACTGTCGGCGACTGTCGCCGATAGGGTGAGCGATTATATGGAAACCGAGCTTTACCCTGACTATCGCACATAACTGCGATGATGAAGAAGATGATGATGATGATGATGTGATGTGAAGATGATAAGAAGGCATCGTAGCAGGTGACGACAGGTAAATTAACAGGCCCTTTGATATGAGTTTCAACCGAGGCCCGTATCCCGAGTTCGTCGTCACATTTTCAATGCACACAATCGGACAACAGTAATTACCTATAAGTTATATAATCAGTACATTCTCGACTGTCATAAAAATATCATATATCTAAAAAATTACGTTATATGCATGCTCAGAAGGGGGAATTTTAACCTAAAAGTTTGATATATGTTTCATGTTGTTTGTTGAATGGTCTTTAGTGATATTATATTCTAATATGACCACAACATAAGGAAGAACATTTTGTCACCTACAAAGTTCAGACCCACATACCTTTATATTTCCTTAGGCCTAAATCATAAGGAAGTCCGCTCTATATCCAAATTTCATGGAACTATACGTTTTATGCATGCACTGACGTGGGAATTTTGTTTTATGTTGTTTGCTGAATGGTCTTCTTTAAAAATATAACAGTCTAATATGACCACAACATAAGGAAGTTCATTCTTTAAATGTTTAGTAGATAGTACAGAGAATTATGATTGTTTTTCAAAATCATTATACACATATTAAATCCAATTTTTTTAAAATAAATTATAAAAAAAAAAATGTTTTCAGTGCACGCGCCGACGTGGAAAGATTAACCTAATAATCTTGTTAATAATGCGGTTCTAAAAATAATCACAACTTTTAAGTTAACTTCAGAAAAAATAATGCATTTTTATTGTACCGTCACCAGCTTTGAAAGTAATTAAATATGCATAAATTTCTTCTGTGATTGGTTGATTACCAACATTTCAATGCTTAGTGGTTGGATGGTCTTATATAATAATGAGTAACTCTCATGAGTAATAATTTCATATTTCGAAAAATTGTTTGGAGTAATGATCACGTTCCATGATAGATTACATCCACAGTGTGCCCCTAAGCCAAAATTTCAAAATTAAATAAATTGCGTTTTTCCGAATTACGACAGACTGAGTAGATTAGGCCTACTGGTTAAAATGTAAAAAAATAAGATTTTATTTTTAAATCACAGAAAATCACAAATTTATATTAAGTACATTCTCGACTGTCTTGGAAATGTGAAGCTTATCAAATTTGGTTGGTGCGTTATACACACTCATCGTAACACCCCAACTACTGGATATACGGGCCTGGAAACTTTACATTTTAATTATACTGTTATTAGATATCGTCTCAATTTCTCAGTATTCTTTTTTTAAATTCTTTTTCCACTTCCAACACTGTATGATTTGAAATATACATACCGTTCACGTCGTTGCTCTTCTTCAGATTCTGTGTTCATTTTCAGTCTCTCAGTGATCGGTGGTTATTTTTGACTTTCTTTTTAGACTGTAGCTCTAGGTCTACAATTAGGCTACCAAGACTTGTTTTTTGTTTTGTTTTGTTTTTTTAACGAATAGCATTCGTTAAAATGATGAAATACTAATTCATTAATCAAAAAGTAATAATTAAAATAATATGTTTTCGCTTTGGTGTAATTTTGGAATAACAAAATATAATAAAATTATATATGTCTTTCAATAAGGTTATAAGAATCAACGCACATGTATAGCCTATCCTCCCTGTGAATGGTTTTGTGTTAACCATACATTGTGACATACATGATGATGATGATGATGATGATGCACCACCTGCACCACCTCTGCATCCGCCCCAGCACCCCACCCCTCACAGGCTTTCGAAAGGTCTGATCAAAGGACCTATAGTCCTTTATATATTCTATAAAGGGTAGTCGCAAAGCAAATTATGATTATGGCACCTTTACATGCCCGGAAATTATTTAGACTTAAAATTTGAAAATTGTATCTCAATTTTTTAACATTTTGACAAAGTAGGATGGCCCTGGCCGGCTGGGCACCCCACCCCCACTGGATTAATAAATATATGCAATACAGTCGCTGTCAAAGACACGTTATACTGTTATTAACGAAGCCATTTAGGATCAGGGTGGTATATAGAGCGAGGACCCTACTGGACTCATGGGTAGGGGCATCAAAGGGGCCAATAAGGGTCGGTGGCCTGCGGATTTTCGCACGAGAACGCGTAGGCGTTACTCCATGCTGAGCATGGATAGCTGTTCTATAGCTGGGTACTACATTCCGGCTAAAAGACTCTGTCTTTAGGTCTCCGCCTTTTGGCCTTTTTACATCCTGATTGATGCGTCGGGGATATAGTGTTGTGTTCGTTGTCAATCAATGGAAAATTCAAAATTAGTGAGTGGTAAAATAATCGAGGTCTCCTTAGGGTACACTTTCTTTTTTTTCCCTCTTTCTTTCTTCCCTTTAACTCTTCTCAATTTTTTTTTCGGCGTGACTGACAGAGGGGGGGGGCCCCGTGCCACCCCCACCCCGCTGGATCCGCGCCTGAGCCTACCTAGGCATATAGGTTGGCAAATCAGACAAACTATGCTTAGCCCAACTAACCTTCAATTAAATAAAATTATACAGAGTGTTTTTGATTCAATGTCGTAATAATGTATGTACGAAAGTGCGTTCTACGCAATATTGTTGGAATATAATAATATATTGCTTATGTCTTTTTTTTCTATATATAATGGCCTGAAGAATAAGATAAAATTACCTGATCTTTTTCAAGAGGAGAAAAACCTTGAATTTTGAAGAACTTAAAAACTCCTCAGAAGTCGGGAAAGCTCATTTCTGGCCATCTAGGAATCAAAATTTTCCCGGGGGAGGTCCCCAGGGCCCCCCTTTCATTTTGGGGGAGTGGGTTTTAGACATTTTGAACCACCCTCTTTCATATCCTGGATCCGCCCCTGCTTAAGCTGAGCTGAGCGTTCGGTCGAGAGGCATGAACACTGCTTCCTGTGCTAAATACCCTGGTTCAAACCCAGGCAGCGTCGGATTTTGATTAGAGCTCGATCGCTTTTCCCCTCCTTGAATAACCATCACATGAGAGTTACGCGGGATAAAGGACAATGTATCCGAATACATGTCGGCACTCGCTGCACTGCTGCTGCTGCTATTTTCCCAGCGACGTATGTAGCGAGGTGGTGATGGGCCTCAGTGCAAGACAATTGCCGGGCCCTTTAAGGTGAAGCTTGGAGGGACGGAATTTCTTTCTGACCATCTCACAAACGTGAGTCCGGAATACATTTAGTCGGCGTGCTTTAAGTGTCATAAAGGCACCTTGTTGTTGCACCCAGACACAGAGTTGGGGGTCTCTTAATGCTCATACATTCTGAGATTTTTTGCAACAGATACGGCATTAACGCGCAGAAATATCTATAAAATATTCGAAAAAATGTAAAGTTTCAAACAAAAACGTGCTTGCCGATATTAGAATAGCTTTAGGGACCATTTTTCAAAAATTAATGTAGTACTTCGTACCGTAGTAAAAAGATCAAAAAGTCATCTTACTGGAAGTGTTTGGTGGCACTTAAATTGTAATGAAGATAATTAATAATAATTATGGGCTCTACAACCTAATAGTATTGAGGGGTCCTTTTAAAATTTAAGTAGGTTATTTTAAAGTTATATTTTAGATCTATAGGCCTACTGAACGGACCCCCGATAGCCCCAGGCCCCAGTTCTTTGCATCGGCTGTACTGCCCATATGCTTACGTAACTGTTTTCCATCCCTTATATCTTCTGCTGCTCTTCCTCAACATTTTTACAACCTACAAAAAGCTGATGACAGGGCTTTTTCTCATCCTGCTTACCATCTTTGAAATCATTTTGCAAGTCTTCTCCGGACATTGACTACATTCGAAAGGCGTTTTAAAACCCATCCGTTCGCTCTATACACCTTAACATGGGCCTTGTATAATTTGGTAATTGGCAATGTATACATTTCAATATTAATGTTTAATTGAGGCCTTACTTATTTTTTAAATGTAGACAACAGCATCATGTTCAGAAACCCGTTGCCTTGGATCCATGATGTTTCCAGAAAAAGCTTCAACGGAAACAAGACCAAAGGAAGAAGTTTTAAATCACGCAGTAGATTTCATAAACGAGTACTACGACCACATCAAAAAGTAAACATTTATCTTTACCATGAATGAAAGGTGTAGTCGCGTTAGTCTGCACAATATAAGAAATTACAAATCTCGGCACCTAAAAACAAACTACATCATTTATTAACTCTGAATCTTTACAAGTAACTATTGTTAGTGTGCGAAATGTCATTCATTTTCATTAAGTGCACAACTAAGTTACTACATAGGGCTTATGCCTACAGAAGTGTCTCAGACTTAAAGGTCTGGTTACACTATAACGATAACAATCAACGTTAAAAAAAAGCCAAAAAGCAATTGTTAGTATAGAAAATACAAGAAATAAGAAAAGTGTTCACACTAGCACAATTCGCTAACGATTTATCGTGTATACGATTAAAATAATTTCACAAATCTAACCACATGACTTCATATTCATGGGAAAACGATACTACTACTATTTTAACGTTTTTCTATGATTATGACGTCAATTTTGATTTGATTTGTCAAAATATTTTGTTATCGTATACACGATAAATCGTTATTAAATTGTGCTAGTGTAAAAACCTCTCTTTCTTTTATTTTATATAGGAACAATTGTTTTTAGCTTTGTATTCTTGATCGCTATCGTCATATTATAAACAGCCTTTACTCTCTTGAACATGAACTGAGGCCTAGAATATGAGTAAATTCAACTAGGCATATTTTTATATTAATGTCTTTCACTTATATTATTCTAATCCTTCACTTTTTTCCCTCTGTTTCTGCAGACGGTTGACGCCGTTATATGAAAGCAGAATTAAGGAAGTAAAACAGAGTATTGAGTCAACAGGGACATATACTCTCACAGAAAAGGAACTTATTTTTGGGGCAAAGTTGGCTTGGCGAAATTCAGCCAGATGTATTGGTAGGATCCAATGGACTAGGCTACAAGTATGTGCAATCTTTTTATTAGTTAGTAATTATATTGTGATAATTTTCATAGTCGTAGGAAGCATTTTGCAAGTGGTCCGGCCAGCGATTTTTTTTTTGTTTTGTTATCTAGACAGTGTGATTTTTTTTTTTATCTAGACAGTGTGACCAGCGATGTGAATTGAATTATGCCGGAGGTTGATGAACAATTATGCTAAATTTTTATGCCAAATTTTGAGGGAACAGATACAGCTACAATACAGATATCGGTCTAGGTGGGAGAGGAATGCTAACTTTTTTCATAGTCGTCGGAAGCATTTCCTAGCGCTTTTCTGATTAGTCAGTATAGTCAGTTTGATTGAAACTCCGGAAAGGTCTATTGTTACAACTCCTAAAACTTTAGTGATGGTACGAAATGTTATGGCTCTATCTCTAGCACTCTAGGACATAATATTTAATGTAAATTTCATTTTTCCCTATATTATTTTAAATTTTCTAAAACTTTGGTAGAGATAATTCGGTTGTCCGAAAAACATGAATGTACAAGACCATGGCCAGGGCTCAGGGGTGAAGCCTGTTAGACGCAGAGCCATTTTCAGAATTTTAGAGGTTCTAATATTCGATTTTATTTGAGAAAGTTTTAAAATTAAGTATACAAAGCTACAGAACAAAAAGTCCTCACAGAACTATGCCACCTATGCCACCGAATTGTGTTTCGCTGCTTTTGTTCCATTTACTGAATTTTGTTACGTCAATACGGTAGCCTTTGTACTTAAATTTCAAACGTCTACATTTAGATTTAGATTTATGACCAAAATTATGAAAAGACCCTGGCGATCAACCGGGTTCATCCACTGAACACTTGACACGGCCTTGCCATACTCAGCAGCCACAGTGCTCACAACGGCCCCAGTCCCATATGGGTCCCCAGCAGGGCTTAACACGTTTGGCTGTTAACCTGCAGACACGCTACCCCTATCCCCTCCAGGGGTGGATACACGACGATCGTGTGGGGATAGAATCCAAACACACTCAGCCCCCACCCACCACGGTTGGTGAGCAAATTTTGAATGACTCCTCTCGGTGCCCAGAAATAGCAGCTGACGATCCGCTTCCCCAGAACCCTTAGACATTGTGGTGATGACACTCTGGCCGACTACAACCACAAATATTATATACATTATTATTCATTTTTATACCTATGTGTATGATCACCTCTGTGCGGTTCCGACGGCCCTAATGTTTCAATTGAAGAGTTGGTTTTTAAATAAAAGTAGGTGAAACAGCTTTAGAAGAGAATCACAACGAGGTACTCTGAGCGCAATGGTACTGTGACGTATTGGCTCCGGCCAGGTGTGATATTCATAGGCCAAAATAGCAAGTATGTTAACAAGATATTTCCTGTCTTCTTTCTTCTATTTAGTCAACTGATTGGACAATGCTTATGTATTATCAACACACCTAGGAAATAATTACTGTATATAGAGAAAACAAAAAAAAAGAAAAACAATTAATAATCTGTTCTGCCTTATACAACATAAACTGGTGAAAAAATTCAGTGTGAAAACTAGGAGGAAAATACTGGGGGGGGGGGGAGATAACCGGAGGAAAATAGAAGGAGGAAAATATCCGAGGGAAATTAGCCAGGGTAAAGTAACCGAGAGGGAAGAAATCCCCGAGTGGGAAAAAAAAACGTGGGGGAAAATTAGCAAGGTGGCAATTGCCATAGTGCTATTTTCTGTAAAGTAAAATCTAAAACCACCTAGATTCAGGGGCGGCACTAGCGGGGGTCCAAGGGGGTAAATGACTCCCGTCGGGGACGTCTGGACCCCCTGTCGGGGAATTTCCAGCAAGTTTATTGGGGAAAAACCAAATATTGAGCGCTGAAAGTACAATTCAAGCATGCCTTACTAAGCTGTCAAATTTTGGGGATGAAAACTGTTTAGTACAAACAGTGCTACTGTATGTGCGAGGTGCTGCATACTATTGCGATCGTCTGGGGGTAGCAGTAGCGGCGCCAGCTCATCCTAGTCAGGGGGATAGTACCTCCAACAGGGGTTAGTACCCCGGACAGGGGGACTCTTAACTTGCATGGTTTTCTATCAAATTATCATTTTTGAATAAAGATTCCCATAATTAATAAACAAACTATTATATTTAATTAAAAAAATCCCCGACATATTACATTTTTTCGCGACCGAGAGGTGGGGTGGGGGGCTAGGCTTCCCCGACGGGAGGGTGTTTGGACTCTCTTGTCAGGGAGCTTGGAGCCCTCGTCGAGGAATTCCTGGCGCCGCCTCTGCCTAGATTTTGAGTCTACTCAATTAAAAAGTCTTTCCGGGCTTTTCCAAACTCTGTGCTTTATACAAGCTTGCTAACGTGCAGATTCTATGAAGTAGGGGTAATGGTGTTTACAAGCGCAATCGTTTCTTAAATGTTGTTAGTGGACACGACACAGGCGTTGCGCTTATGTATTCACTTGTAATGGTAACAGTATTTATCAAATGATTTGCTTTTTTACTATTATTTGTTTTTAATTTCAATTTTTTCACACGGACAAACCAGACTGAGTTGATACACATTATTAACTTGGGACTACAAACGACATTTATTATGACTTGCATTAAAATTGACGTACTAGCATCATGTGCAGGTATTACCTGCACATGTTGACGGTGGTTGTGCAGTAGCTGACAGATACAGATGTGGGCTTACATTGTTCTATCATGTAGCGGCAACATTCCAACAAAAAAAAATAGTAGGCCGTATATATGTAGGCTTTTTCGTCAACTTCTGTGTTTTCCAATTTTAATTCAATTCAGAATAAACATTTTATTTCCTTTTCAAACAGCAAAGTAGTATAAATAGGATGGGCTATTGTGTACTTGCAATCAGATTTATCTTTATCTGAATCTTTACTGCACTTGACCTGAATAAAGGGAGCAGTCATTGGTCGTATTCGACCGGTCGTTCTTCGTTAAACAACGCCCACCTGAGCAGTGGTAAAATCCTACTTAACGAAGACGACCAGTCGAATAGAAAACTGGTTAATACTCGACAAAACAAACATGGCTGCATAGTTACCGCTATACACGCTGCGCAATCAAGGTTGCTCCGGATTGTGGCAGTATAGGTTTTTCGTTAAAAAAAATGTTTTTATCCATTTTTTTAGTTAGCATACAATTATTTTTTTTACTTCATTTGGGTAAATATTATAATTTTTATTTTCTGACATTTATTCTAAATTATATTGCAAATGTTGTTGCTAAGCTGACCAGTCGGCCATGTTTGTTTTAGTCTCGTGGATAACTAAACGCTGATTAACGCACCCGAGTTTACGTTAATTTTCGTTGCCAACGAAGTCTATTTTACGAACCAGTCGAATGAAAATATTACCCTACGAAAAATCGTAGACAACGAAATGAACCAGTCGAATAAGCCCATTGATGTTATTCCGAAGGTGGGTTGTGAAAATTCAAGAACACAACCCACACACAAAGTCATATAATTTATATAGGCCTAGCTTATTTCTGGCTTACAACTCTATTTCATCTAATGTTTAACTTTATTGTTGTAGGGTAATGCCAATGTTTTGAAGTACCGTAATATATCAATCAATCAATACTTGAAATTCCTACCAACACGTGGTCCCAGAACTAAACGTAAACTACAGTAAACTATACAAATAAAAAATAATCACAAAGAACGAAACAAAAACAAAATCATGCAGGGAAAACAAGCAAGAACAAAGAGGAACGGATGGATGAAACACGGATCTCTATTAATCGTATAAAATGAGTGCGGAAACGACCAACCCAGGTCTCAGTAGACAGTAGAATTGCAGTATAGAGAAAAATTGCAATAAGAGCAAGGCATAACTATAATTACTAGGTGTAGTATCTGCAGTAAACTAGAGCAAATATTCAATTGAACATTTACAACTCAGCAATTAGAAAAGAACTGAACTTCAAAATAACAAATGTAAGATCCGATCCATTTTGTAGAAACGTGTGCTTTTTTGTGATTGAACATGCCAATTACATTTCCATTTCTCACATTTAATTATTGTGAACAGCTTATTTTTATTATCGTAGAGTTCGTTACAGATAGCTAATAATCGATGAGCTACGGTGTCCACATGTACAATGCAAAGTGTATTATGTGTAATATTGTCTTTCCATGGACCTATTATAGGTCCATGGTCTTTCCATCTGATTTGCAATTCCTAGCTATTTGATCAAAAGAAGTTTATAAAATGGATAAAATTAGTATGACGTATTTGAAAAACAAATTGATGTTGCTAATTTTGAAATATGTCCACATTAAATGCTTTTTGTAGACATTTTATAGACATAGCCAATTTAATATCAATATTTATGAATACATTTTACGCGTCTATACTTTTATTACAGGTATTTGATGCTCGAAATGTTAGCACTGCGTCAGAAATGTTTCAGGCCATCTACTCGCATATTGTATACGCAACGAATAAAGGCAATTTAAGGTAGGTATGGGCGGCATACCGGTTGCGGGGGAGTATGTATCTTATATGTACACTTACAAAATTAATTGCGTGATTCACCATTCGGAAAATTCGCTGACCGCACATAGTACGGTCATAATTTTACTGACTTTTGATGACCACTATGTGTAAATGTGGTTTTGTTTTTTTTTTTTATAGTAAAAAGAAAACAATTTATAATGGTTACTCCCGGATGCTTATAGCCAACAATTTGATATTGTGTTTAAAACTGGTGAGTAGGCTTGGGCCTAATAACCACCATTGGATTTGTTTGATTATTGGGTCTACCTGTTCAAAAAGTGTTGTCCAAGATACTTAAACTTTGATCTCCTACTATCTTAACACACATGCGCATTATCTTGATGACTTAGGAGAGTGTATTTGGTTTGACTGTCGCATCCTATATTGCCGTTATTTATTGGCTTGCATTGAAAATTCTTTAAATTTGCTTGTATTACATAATATAGTTATGCTCACGTTTGCCCTTCTGGTGTTCCATGAGCATTATTTTGCGCAGCTGCTTATCATGCTCCGCTTTGCGCTAAGTTAGATCCCACGAAATTACGCTAAATTTTTAAGACAGATCATGGGACCTTTATTTTAATGTTAAATACACCAACATGCCTTTATACTATTATATGAGAGTACATGTTCTTGTATATATTTTCGCAGAGCTACAATGACGGTTTTCCCGCCAAGGAAAGATGGAAAGGATTTCCGTGTCTGGAATCCCCAATTTATAGGGTATGCAGGATACACCCAGCCCGACGGTTCGATTATAGGTGATCCTGCAAATGTGGAATTTACGGAGGTGAATGTCTGTGATTTGTGTAGGCCCTATACTCAAACGAGGTGTATCGTGTAGGCCTATATAAAATCAAACACAAAAGTTTAAAACATTAATAATATTCCTAAAAAATCATATAGACAATTTAACAAACATATCACCCAGCTATAGATTTTACGCTATAAATAGCATTGCAGTTAATGCAGTGGCGTATCTAGAAGTCTTGAAATTGGGGTGCTGATGGGGGGGGGGGCTTAATGATCAGTTGAGGGGCGCTAATTTGCAAAATAAGGTGGATTTAGGTGGCTTTTAACTATTTGACCGTGATTTTTGGAGGGCGTGCGCCCCCGCGCATCCCCTAGATACGCTGCTGAGTTAATGTACAAAGCGTTTTTTTTGTAGTTCCTGACTAAATAACTTCGGTTGCAAGTGTTACTGCATCGTTGTATAAACGACTCTTCTGATCTAACCTGTCGAACTTTCTTCTGACCTAATCTTACGACTACGTTCATGAATTCTATAATAAAGTTTTGTGTCTTTGTTCAAATTTTCAAAAGCTCAAATTAAAATATGTTTAATAGCTTCGGCGCTTTTATAGGCATGCTCTGTTTAGCCAATTTTTATTTCTCCATGTTGTAGCTAAAGAGACCTAAGTGGATAAAAAATACTAATACTATCACCGTATTTATTCAAATAAACGCTTGGACGGTTGTTGTGGGGGAGTTTATTCGAGGGAGGCGTTACGTATACTCAAATACATGCCCCTGCACTGTAAGGGAAATACAACACATAATTACCGTCAAAATGTGTTATTGCGTGATCATAAAGACTTACTGATCTCAACCAGTTATGAAAAAATGTAATTCTACTGGAGTAGGACATTAATAGAATGTGTTGAGAATGATGTTGCTTCCATTAGATTTGTCGACAGTCATTTAGGGGGCGTTTATTCGAATAAATATAAACGCCCGGTACGTTTATTTGAGGCAGACGTTTATTCAAAGCGGGGCGTTTATTAGAATAATACGGTAGGCTCTATGTATATTTTCAGGTTTGTATGACTCTTGGTTGGAAAGGTAACGGAGGGTATTTCGACGTGTTGCCTCTAGTTTTATCCGCAAACGGAGGTGAGCCTGAACTATTTGAACTTCCATCAAGTATAGTACTTCAAGTCGAGATTTCACACCCTTCGTAAGTTTACAATTAATTAGCATCATTAGTCCGTCATCGCTTCATTTATGAGAACGGTGGCGGTTTTATGACCAGTTACACAGTAAGGCTACTTGTTTGAGAGTGTATAACTTATTTATAATTCGATTATATCCATTTATTTTTGGTATAACTGCAATTCCATTGTGATTTTAAATAAGAACACTGTGATTATATTAACATAATGTTAATATCTTACAAAGTAGGCCTACACTATTTGAAAGAGATACCGTAATGGGCATATTAGTTGAGTACATACAATAATAGACCTATACCAAAGAACTACAAATAGGCCTAATTCTAACTGTAATCCTAAATATACCATAATTTACCTATACAGTATTCTAAATTAAATTAAATCATAATTGCTGATTTATTATTCCCAATGCCATTAAAAATACAGATATGATTGGTTTGCTGCCCTTGGAATTAAATGGTACGCGTTGCCCGCCGTGTCATGTCTAATGTTGGATATAGGAGGAATCCAGTTCCCCGGGGCACCCTTCAACGGATGGTATATGGGGACTGAGATTGGTGGCAGAGACCTATGTGACCCACAACGGTATAATATGTCGGAGGTAATTAAAACTGTATTTGTTCTTTCATTATGTCAACTGGTTGGCCTGCGTGCTTTCCCAGCAGTTCCACAGAGAACAACCTCAACTTTCCAAACGAGTTATCGTGCCGCCCATCACGTAAACATACTCTACAGTATCTGGTATTCCATTACTTGTTGAAAAGTCAGACATTCAAACATGAACTACCAACCCATTGAAAAACTTATTGTTAATGTTTTTCCAACTAAGATCACAGCTTCTTTTAGAATAATAACATTTTATAATACAAATATATAGAAAAATCTGTCTATTGTAAAATTAGACAGATGTATTTATGTACGAGTTTGCTTTACGAATACTGTATACGTAAAATAATTTGTGTATATTAAAACATGAATACTTCATTGTGTTAGGGCCTATGTTTAAAGAAAAACTATAAATAAATTTGCATATGGCCTTCTAAGAGAAATACAAGTAACTCGTTTGAAACAAATAAATTCACGTTTTCTTATGAAAACAACATAGCCTAATATCAAATAACTTAGTACTTCGATTTTGTTAGAAAATAGCTCAAGAAATGGGCTTAGATACTAACAGCTATTCGTCGTTGTGGAAGGATCGTGCTGTTGTTGAGGCTAACTTTGCTGTTCTGTATAGCTTCCAGGTAAATACTGTTGCACCCTTAAAAAACAACGAAGCAACAATAGCCTAATATTTAATAAAAAAATAATAATTGTTTTTCTTTTACTTAACTTTACCGACAATTCCCAAGAACTCACTATTATAGGCCTATAAGCATTATTTGATTTTAAATAAATATAGGCTTACTTAAACATTACCAACAACTCCACAGAACTGACGAATATACACTTTTGAGTAATGTACTTAAACATTAAAGGCAACACAGAGAATTGATCATTTTGTAAACATTCGTTTATATTAACTGAGTGTACTTTAACATTATCGAAAACGTTACAGAAAGCTGGAGTGACCATCGCTGACCATCATTCAATGTCTGATTCATTTTTGAAACACATGGACAATGAACAGCGTCTGCGTGGAGGATGTCCTGCAGATTGGGTGTGGATTGTACCGCCTATATCCGGAGGTGTTACCTCTGTCTTCCATCAGGAGATGCTTAACTATAAACTGAGGCCCTCGTTTGAGTACCAGGTTAGATTAGTTTCAACTTATTTAGGCGTAAAGAATATAACGAATCACCACGTAATCTATATACTGTTAATAGGCCTATAGAGTACATAACAGTTAGGGCCAGGTATAAGGAACTGTTACTAGAATTAATATGAAATTTATTTGTTTTACACCTTCCTGTTTTGGCTAGGCCGACGCTTGGAAAGTTCATTCCTGGAAGAAAAACGACGGAAGCCCAAAACCAAAAATTAAGGGTATTACATTCAAGAAAATTGCCAAGTAAGTGAAAAGTTTTCCGTACAGTTTATCTGAGCTCTATGGAAACACATACAAAAAACACAAATCTATAAGTCCAACACAAGGCTTACTCAAAGTTGCAACGTTCATTAGATCGATTCCAAACAAACCTCTACAAATATTATTAAATAACTTCATTGCAGCATAATTCAACCGAGACTTAATGTTCTTACAGAGCTGTCAAATTATCTACTGCAATGATGAACAGTGCAATGGCTAAACGCATCAAAGTAACTATTCTGTATGCGACCGAAACGGGAAAATCTGAATATTTTGCTGACAGACTTTGCGAAGTTTTCAGATATGCTTTTAATCCCAAGGTAAGTGACGGTGACACTATATAGGCCTGTGTTATATTTGTTGAACTTGCTTACATTCGACACATGCACTACGGTTGCACCCTATAATGTCAATTATGATTATGTCGCCTTTCAAACTAATACTATGAGAAACTATAAAATATTATATTTATTTCCATCCTCTAATTTACGAATAAGAATATTAACGAATATACGGAGGAGAAAATTGTATGAAAAGAATTCATTGAAGAGTTCAAAGTACTACATGACTGGTCATTTAGAAACTGCGGAAACTCAGTGGGTCTGCTGTATTCTAGTGACACTTTTAATAAAGTTGATGTTTTGATAGATTATGTGCATGGATGAATATGACTTCACTGATCTTGAAAATGAGGCTCTTCTTCTTCTTGTAACCAGTACATTTGGCAACGGTAACCCGCCATCAAATGGTGAGGTAAGTTATATTATTCTTATTATTATTATTATTATTATTATTATTATTATTATTATTATTATTATTATTATTATTATCAATATTATTATTATTGTTATTGTTATTATAACTATTATATTATTGTTATTATTATTATTATTAGACCTATTATTATTATTATTGCTGTTGTTTTCACCACCGCCAACGTCGTTTTCAAATATAATTATTTGCCATACATTTTATCTACATTTTTAAATGGTAAAAGTATAGAAAACAACAATAATGTAGAGAAAATGATTTACAAAAATATTTCTACAAAAGTCATCTACAATTTGGTGAATTTTACGAATGATATATTGTAAATTATGAATTAGAAATGTTCTAAAAGTATTGAAATACACTTCCACAGCAAATCAAAGTAATTGATTTTTTTTTCACTAGAGTTTTTACAACATTTTAGAGGAACTGATGCTTGATGAATACAGATCATTGATGAATATTAGCATGCCAAAGTGAGTTCTATATGAATTATAAATAATTTCCTGGATGATATTATCGTTTTGTTGATGTAATATGAAACGACTATGTACATTTGATTATGTCGATGACAACTATGATGAGAATGATGTTAATAATGATGATGATGATGATGTTGATGATGTTGATGATGATGATGATGGTGATGATGATGATGGAAAAAATAACGAAAACTGACGACAATGTTGATAGGTTTAATAATCATTATGACGGTTGTGATCTACAGATGGTGACGGCCAATGTGATAAAGATGATAATATATCAGCACTTTTTTATTTCATTAAATTATCTATTAGATTTGCAGTTTTCGGCTTAGGTTCAAAAGCCTACGTCAATTTCTGTGCGTTTGCCAAGGACATTGATCGTATGCTAATTAACCTCGGTGGAGAACGCATTTTTAAAGTAGGAGAAGGTGATGAACTCAGCGGTCAGGATGTATCGTTTAATACCTGGGCACGTGATGTATTCAAGGTGTGTCATTAGGTTTACAACTAAAATATACCATTCCAATTCATGTTTAACTTTATATAAATGGCAACTTGGTACACTTACCGACACCCTCATGAGAACCAATTACAGATACGTTTGTTTAGGATGCTTACATGTTAACCAAATTGGAGAGCATGACGTTTAAAATGAAATATATAGAATGCTAATGTTAAGTTTTCGATTTTGCTTAAGTGTTAATCGCTTTCCAGTCCCATCAACAGAGATATGTCATAATTAATTAGATTTTCTATTAAAAAATAATTTTCAGAAATTACTTTAGTATAAGGTTCTTTTATGATGATCAAAATATCACGTAAAAGTAAGAATGGTGTGAACTTGACATTTCGCCTTCTTCCACCAAGGCTTTGTCATAAGTGCCGGTACCATCGTGGGCTATCCGATGAAACGTCAAGTAAATTCCGTAAGCTTACAGAACTTTTACTTTTAATCATTATTTGGATCATCTTAAAAGAACCATATAATTTATTTAATATTTTCAGAAATCGTTGGAAGAATTCTGTCTTGAAGATGACGAAAACTACAAAGATGCTGTAAAGATGTTGACAACTGAAGGACAACAATGGAACAGTGATGACTGGCAATCCATAGGAACTAATGACATAGAACCAGAAATTACTAATGGACTTAGTGCCATCCATAGAAAGAGTATCAACATGTGCAAGATTATATCTGTAGAAAACCTGCAATCTGAAAAATCAGGGTAAGACAATTCTTGGACTAAAAGCAAACAGAGGGCGCCATATCAATATATTATATTACAATGTCATGAGTTTTTCACATTGTCACTTACTGGATTATCAAATTTGAAATCTTGTCTATTCTTAGCCGCTCTACTATTCTGGTCAAGATGTCAACGAAAGGTTCAAACGAAATGGACTATGAACCTGGGGATCACGTGACTATCTTTCCAGCCAATGAAGAAAGCCTTGTGAATCGTATAATCGCACGTACAGATTTGCAAGGCATTAGTGCAGACGCTGTGATTCGATTAGAGAAACAGGAAACGAAGACTACATTGTTCGGTATAAGCATTTTGAAAATAGCTTTTGAATATTTAAAAACACCCTTTTCCCCGCTTTTCCTAAAGTTATTAAATATTCAAAAATATGTATCTCATTAACCGTTCCCGAGTTTTTTGTCAAACGCCAATTTTTTTTTGTCTAGAAAATCAGTTGTTTGTTTCCTCCGGAGCCTGGATTTAAAAAGACACTGGTCGTCGAAATGTTAAAAACATATGAGTCGTATTCCAACATATTTTCTTCTTTTATTTCAAATGAAATACAAAGAGTCAATAAAGGCAGACTAATGCTAACTTTCTTAAATATCTTTTATTAATTAAAGGATTACTTTCTTCCTGTTAACATACATAAGTAATCCAATTAAATTTTAAATGGAGAAGTTTAAGACAAATAATATGGTATTTATATGTTATTCATTGAATGTGCATTATTGTTAAGTATCGGTCCAACAGTTAAATTGAGAAGTGTAAGACTTGTAAAACGCTGGGCCGCTCCTGACCAAATCCTTCTTTCAAGTGATGAAGTACCTTAATGTAGTTGCTTCTACATCCCGGCAGGTATGTCCAAATGTTGGTTATAAATGAAGAAGTTTAAGACTTTTGTAAAGCTCTGGGCCCGCTCCTGACTAGTGTTAATTGCATTAGGTTTAAACTCGTCATTTCAACAATACCGTATCAATGTTCTACTACTTTCAGGCAAGGTACAAAGCTGGAAAGTATGTGACCGATTGCCAGAATGTTCTCTGAGGATGGCGTTGTCGCGATACTTAGACATAACTTCAACTCCTACCCCTGATTTTATTGCTCTTCTGGCAACTTTCACAGACAATAAAGAAGATAAGAAAAATCTTAGCACTCTAGCTGATGTAAGTAGATATACACTACTAAGGAATATCCTTGCTTTAGATTAAGATTTATGTTGTTTAGTAAAATATATATTTTGTCACTTTATTTACTTACTTTTGGATTAAAGGGTCATCTAATACTCACTCTGACCTTATTAGTTACATTATTATTATTATTATTATTATTATTATTATTATTATTATTATTATTATTGTTTCTGGCTTATGTTCCTTGACTGATTAGTGACTTTTTGTTTTTTTATGTTTAAAACTGTGCCGTTATTTTTCTTTTGGTTTTAAAAGTGTCTGATTTCTGTTTACGTTTTTGTTGTTTTCCTTTGCCTTTTTGAATGATTTTATTATATATGTAAATGAATGAAAAACAAACAAACATATAGAACAGAACTATAACCTTTTAAATTTCGTTTTACTACTGTGAGCATGCCATTGTATCAAACACATCTCAAAGACTTGTTTTAATTCTAGATCACGAAAGTAATTTTGGAGATACATCTCCACTGGTTATAATTAAAAAAACGTATTTTCTCATCGGGACTTAAACCTAAGACCTTCCGATTACTGTTCGGATACTCTACTATCTGTTTCAATCCTACAATTGCTTAATTATATTTTATTAGGGAACATCACTGTACGAGGACTGGAAGTTTGAGCATCATCCAAACATGGCAGAAATCCTGGAAGAATATTCGTCAGTGCGTATTCCAGCAACTTTGTTGATGGCAGAGTTACCTGTGTTAAAGCCTAGGTACTATTCAATCAGCTCAAGTCTCAGAATGTTCCCAGGTGAAATCCACCTAACTGTCGCTGTCGTCACCTACAAAACGCGAGGTTAGTTAAAGTGTTTAAGTGTTTTTCTCACAAGGTAATTTATGGCCCGTGGGTGTCATCAGATATAACATCCTGAGGTACTTTCCCGGATTGGTTTTGGTGACGAGCATGGCAACTTTGTGTAGTCTAATATCGTGCGCTATGTCGTGAGTGCGTCGCTTTATCGGATACGAATATTTTGCATAGGTTACTATTCTTAACTACTATTATTTAAAAAAAATGAATATTGTTTTTTTTTATCAAGAATATTTCAGGTCATCTGCATTTAAGTCTGTTACATTTACAACATATCAACATTTTACGTCATCACAAAACTGATATTTTTTAACATATTTACCAAATTAAGATTTGAAACGATAAGCCTATAAATAATAACGAATTTACAGGAACTGCACCAGCATTTAAAACAAAATTTAAAAGATATAACATCCTGAAGTACTTTTCCCGGATTGGTTTTGGTGAAAAGCACGATAACGTTGTGTAGTCTAATATCGTGCGTTATGTCGTGAATGCGTCACTTTAATGGATACGAAAATTTTGCATAGGTCAATATTATTTTAAAAAAAAACAAAAACATTAAAAATATTGTTTTGTTATCATTTAATATATCAGATGATTTGTCTGTTACATTTACAACATATCTACCTTTTACGTGAATCATTACAAAACTGATATTCTTTAACATGTTTACCAAATTAACATTCGAAACGATATAAAATTAATAATAACTAAGTTTCAGGAACTGCACTAACATTTAAAATTACATCTCACACCAAGGAGGTATAAAATATAACCCCCTTGCTCATACCAAGCAAGATCGTCAGCAATATACGCTTAATTTCATAGGAAAAAGATGCGAGGTATTCGTTCGTTTCCATGAGGTTAAGAGCTAAGGCATGTCATTCAATCAGTGCTGTATTGTTGCTTTATTTTTATTCTTGCAGAGGGGAAGGGAGCTGTGCATAATGGTGTATGCTCAACATGGCTTAACTGCCTAAAACCAGGGGATGAAGTGCCGGCCTTTATTAAAACGTACGAAGCCTCAACTACAGTAACAATGGTTACAACTTTTCTACGGTTTCTTTATTGATACATCAAACATCTTGATAGAGCAACATTAAAGAAATATATTTACAACAAGACAATACAAGAAGCACTAGATTCCAGAGACTATTCCCTCTCCATAAAAACAGCTCGTGTGAATTTGAGGAATGGCAGCAAAATGTCAAAATCTTGACTACTCATGAGACTAATGAATTTATCATAGTCATTTAAGCTATCCAAGTTGTTTATACCATACCTAACGTTCGAAAATAAAGTGTTTATGGTTCGAGTATTGAGTACAGTTTATTAAGAAGTGCAATTCATCCTCTACCTCACCAGAATTACAATTGTTACATATTTTCTCATCGGGACTAATTGTTGGTCTAGTATATCGACCTCTCTCAATCATTAGATTGTGAGCACTGGTTCTCAGTTTACAGTAATACGATCTAACAACTTTTATATATTTTAAGTAATAAGAATCAAATAATAATGGCTATTTTAACAATGTCACAATCATTCATGAATCTACCACTTATTGCATTCGTAGGAGTTAGAATTTCCTATGGTAAAAAGTAAACGTAATTTTTTCTTTCAAGTAATACCTTTGTTCTTTAAACAGTGCCATTAGCTTCCACATCCCGGCAAATCCATCAACCCCAGTCGTCATGATTGGACCTGGCACCGGTATTGCTCCTTTCCGTGGGTTTTGGCAGGAGAGAACACATTACCTAAAGGACAAAAATAACAGTGACAAACTCTCAGCCAATTGGAACCTGTATTTTGGATGCCGGCAGTCTTGTATGGATCACATATATAAAGAGGAAACGCAGAAAGCTAAAAATGGACTAGCTCTTGCCGAAGTATACGTTGCCTACTCAAGAGAGCCAGACCAACCAAAGGTATTGAACATGCAATTCCCATAGAATCAAAACCGATATTCGGACCGAATTTCTGGTGTGCTGAACGCCCCTCTCCTTGTGTTTCAGTTAGAGGACTGAATTACATGTTACGGTACGCACCGTATTTGAGATGAGACGTTTAAGCTGTTGGTCCTGTGCGCAATATGGTCCATGTGCACGTTGAACGCAGTAGGCCTACATGCTACAGAAAAGCGTTTGTTACCAGTGTACTACCCAATTCAACACCAGAAGGACTCCAGTGAAAAGTTTTCGAGCTTAGTTGGTTACCCTTGTTGTGATTCACACCCCCCCCCCAATCCAAAAAAAAAACCCCTATGCTATCCAGCGTCCCTATACTTATGATTTTCTGATCGCTTCGGTGGGCAAGCATACGTTTTTGAGAGGTCATGATTTATATAAAACATGAAGATTTATCTCCTTATTTTGTCAGACTTATGTTCAAGATATGCTAAAGAAGAACAGCACTAAACTATACAATCATATTATGAAAGATGATGGCCATTTGTTTGTGTGTGGTGATGTGTCTATGGCCACTGGTGTAAACAAAGCATTCTTACACATCTAGATGTGTACTATTGTTTTATCTTAAATGCTGTCTCTTATACACATCTAGATGTGTATAAGAGACAGGTACTCGTATAGGCATTTATAAGGCGCCTCTTCCTTGCGGTTATAAAGCGCAGTTCTTTTCCCTGGTCATTGGGTCCACATGCTAGTGTTGCTACTGGTAATCAGCGCAGGAGCAGGCAACCCTTGAATTGTGATATCCAATAGCCCTAGGAATAAATAATCGACGATTACCGTGACAGCAGTTGGCAGCCTCAGCCTACCACTTCGTTGTACTATACGATCAACTAATTCACTATGGAGGGGATGACCTTTGTCATTCATCACAGTGCTATATTTAGTAGCTAATCGATCAGAGTAGACCGAGTTCACCGACTGCTGACTCGAACCGATCATCCTCTCAGCTCTTCTTATAAAAAGATCTAGCCTATCCCTCTCCCGTTGCAATATATTCCCACCCCAGCTGATCAGACAGTAATTCCATACCTCAAATATCACAGACATGTAACAAATAGAAAGAATTTCATTACGCACATTAAATTCATTAAGCTTCATTATAAATTCAACATGATCAGCCCATGAAAGTCTATCTTCTAAAACTACTCCTAAACATTTAAAATTTGATACCTGCTCAACAGCAGTATTTCCTATTACAATACCGTAGGTTCCAATTCTATTTTGTTTTTACGAAAATCTATTGTCTTGCCATGGTTTTTTTTTATTTAATTCGAGAAAATTATTCTCACAATACCGAATAAATTACCAATCTCAGCACGGTACTGGATACCTAACATCATGGTATCGTCGGCAAATTTAACTACAGTATTGGACAAGAAATGCAGGAAGATCGACAATCTGATGTATATAGTGTGAATAAAAACGGAGCCAGAACCGTGCCCTGGGGTGCATCCGTATTAGTAACAATGACGGCGGATTGTGTACATTTGTTTAGACGTACATATTGCGAGCGATCAGTTAAAAAGTTAAAACAAAAGAAATCAATGGGTATGGGATACGGTATTCATTTTAACAAGCTTTGAAATTATAAGAGTAGGTGGGATCGTGTTAAATGCTGATGATAAATCTAAAAACATAATACGAACTGAGTTACCTTGCCCTGTGCATTCTAAGTGAGAATATATTTTCTTAAGTGAAAATAATATAGGCCTAGCATCATCAGTGCTTCGGTTACTTTTATATGCAAACTGTAAAGGATCCATGTGATTCGATACTAGAGGTTTTAAAACGTCATTCTTTGATATAATTACTGTATTTTATTATGATTTTGTTTTTTCCTACAGCGAGACGATCGTTATCATGAGGACATATTTGGAGTGACTCTTCGCACGGATGAAGTAACACGTCAACTTCGAGAGAAGGACTCAAGAGAAACAAGTCAACAGCTAGCATTTAAAACTAGAATAAACCCAGCCACTACATAAATAAATGCGTTTATATTGCGTTTCAAGTTTCTTAACAAAGATACCTTGACCACTTAAGTCAAGCAAAAACTAAAATTGTAGAATTAGAAATTATATGATCAGTTGGCAGTAGAAGTCTACTGTGAGCTAAAAAGATGATCAAATAAAATTAAATATTTCTTATTTTATATATGTTTTTATTATTACATTTCAATTAAGAATTAAGACGAGAAAATGTTTTACTCACTGACAAACGCAATGCCATTCTTATATTATTATGTGTATAGATTATTCCATAAATAATTGGTTTGTAATCAGTTTAAAGATTTTATAGTAAAACGTAAATTATCGAAACAGAATTATTACGATCTGTCTCAACAAAGTGAATTCAATCAATTCTTAATTTTTATCTTTTCTATTGTTTTATCTTAAATGTTTTTACTTCTCTTAAATTGTTATCCTCCATTTGTACTTGTTTGTTGTTTGTCAATGCTGTTTTGTCTGGGATCCCATTAAAAATGAGCTAGCATTTGCTAGCTTTATGGGCTTTCCTGGTTCTCCATTCACTCTGTTTACTGTTAAGTTTATATTGTTTAAATCGTTTTACTTTTGCTTTATGCAACTTCTTCTGTAATGTTTTGTGTGTTGGAGTTGGAGTTACTAAATGTAGATATATCATGTCACATTGGTAGTTGAATGTTTTAACTGATTTTTTAAGTCCTTCGACTATTAAGTGTGAAAAAAATTAGTCTAGATATTTTACAACAATACTACTGAGCTAGAACGGTGAATTAATGCATGAATTGGCAATGGCAATGCTCAAAATCGATCGTACACTTTTGTTTGTTTTTTGTTTTACATAATTTTAATAAATCACTTTATAACAGGTTGTGAATCAACGATTATGTAAATTTAGAAAAAGACCCTGCTGTATAAATGAAACTAGATCAATATGCATCTATATATATTAACAGCTATATAAAGGCTTGGTGCCAAATGTTTATATATTATATAATATTTGAAATTACATTTTACTACAAGCATATTAAATATACGGTTTCGTTGTGACGTCAGAGAGGGTCACTTCAAAATTGTGTGAAGTGACCCTCTTTGACGTCACAACGAAACTGTAAACGCACTCTCTAAACCGGGCATGATTATCAGTAATTCATGTGAAGTGAGGGCGAATACTATAGTTTTGTATATTTATTTGACCAAAATGATACAATATGTTTCTTTTGTTGGGAGGAAAAAACAAAATTCCCATGTAATTTTAACAAATTATGAAGCTCCAAAATCGAATAAGGCCTCCATTATCCCTAAATTGTCGGATGCTTCTAGGATTTGCTCCTGGACCTTAGAGTTCTGAGCGGCCTTTGGCCGAGTTATAGTCCCTTTACATCAATAGTAAAATGTATCAAACTTTTATCTTTAAAGTGACCCTATCTGACGTCACAACGGTCCACCAATTATGTATAAATGAAACTAGATTAATGTGCATCTATAAAGCTACTAATGGTTCGATTAATATTCCAAAATAAATTTTACCGCATAAGCATTGTGAACGGCCCACCAATCTTAACACATGTAAACGCGGTCTGAACCGGGCATGATTATCAGTTCATGTGAGGGCGAATTTAGTGTTGTATATTTATTTGACCAAAATGGTACAATATATAATGGAACATAGAACAATGTTTTATATTGAAAATAAAACGCATCCACGCAAAACTGTCTCTCTTCAATATTGACTATGTTTACTTGGTAGTTGTTCCACCACTGGAGAAGGAAAAGAGGCCCTGTATGAATGAAACTTGATTAATGTGCATCTATAACAGCTACTAACGGTTCAATACTAGATGGTAAATATATATATCTAGTTGTTCCACTAGTGGCGAAGGAAAATAGGCCCTGCCAACATTTCCTCTTTGTTGTTAGAGAGAAAAAAATCCTTTGTAATTTTAACAAATTATGAAGCTCCAACTTTGATTAAAGGCATTCAATATCCCTAAATTGTCGGCTGACCTGTCCCAATCTAGTTATAAACCCATCGGTTACATCGCGTGCCACTCACCACCGTGGGGAAAATCCTGGCACAACTTTGGTTAGGGTATAATATGAAAATATAAAATGCGTTACCAACTCAACGTGATAAAAATGCACCATTGCATTACTGTGAGTGATGAAATTTGGCGCTGGGCAAGTTATTTTATTAGGTTGATTGTTTCTTGATAATGATAGAATAGGTCCAAGAGCCATGCAAAAGGCAGCGGGTATGTTCTTTATTCACCTGTAAACCGAGATATGAAATAATGACAATCAGATAATCTAGAGACCGAAAGTTTAGTGTGAAAGCTACAATAGCCCTACACATATTTTTTATAGTTAGGCCCTATCTGTTAAGTTTGGAGCTTGAGCGTGAGAAAGGTCTCGAATGCACGAGTCTTGCGGGAATCTCTCGGGAATCGGGACGACCTCCCGCACTCCCACAAGCAAACAAGAATCCATCTCCCACAAATTCATATTTGCATGTTTTCACTGCATTGTCTCTCGCGTAATTAAAGTCAGTGCCAATGGTATCACTATGTGCTAGGGAAGGTCAGTAGGGGAATCACGGCAGGAAGGGGTGGGGGGTGGCAGAAGCTGCCCAAGGCCCCCCTAATTTTTTTTTTTTTTCAAAATGATAAACAAATAGAGAAGAAAAACAATTACTGTACTGTATATTCAAATTTTAGTAATTTAAATTTCCGGGTGCCATTTCCGGCCATCTGGAGGTGCCGTAATCATAAAATTTCTTACATCAGCCCCAACTATGCTTGGGCACGCTGAGGTGGTCTACACTCTCCATATGTGAAAGTCCCTTGCCAACCCCCTCTATTTTCATTTCCTGGTTCCGCCAATGCAGATCTCCAGGAATTGACTTCTACCAAACTACTGTAGGACCCCAGAGCTTTACCTATAAATCAAACTTAGACAACAAAATTTAAAAAAAAAACCCCAAGTACTGTATACACATTTTATTGTAATTCATTTCTGTTATCAGCTTGTTTATAAAGCACAAAGCATCATTAACAGGCAATACTGGAAAAATATGACACTCAGGTCTACATCAACCTAGCTTCCTGAGGACCTACTTGAGATAAACCATAGAGTAATACTCCCCCATCTCACAACTAATATCAATCTAATACATGAACATACTTTATCTATTTAAAGCACCCCTTTGCAAAGTTACATATTGGTTACTTGTTGTACAGTATTTCTTTATAAGCATGTACATAAAGTTACCAATATATGTAAGTAAACGAAATAAGTGTATGCTCTATTTTTCTTCTTAAATTACATAGGATTAATATGTTAACTTAAACGTGCCCCACACAAGAGAATTCAGCTAAGTCACACTTGTAAAGTGTAGAGCAGACAATGCTGGGGAAAATGCTGGACTATTTTCCTACTAAAGAATATAAATCAGAGCATTTCGATTAATCAAAATATCGGTTTGAGTCCAAGCAGTTTTCCCAAGTACGTTCACATGGTCTCACGAATACAAGTGTAGTAGAAGTTAGGTACTGTTAGTGTTACCTGACAAAGTACTCGCATGTACCACATACATCAGCATGTGAATGACATCACTGAAAAGTTTTATATTTGCAATTGGAAATTAATAATCGTCTGTTATGTTGGATGTTTTTAACACAAATAGCCCAATGAATGCTTCAATGTTGCACACATAAATAATGCCTAAACCATATTCAATTATGTAATGGTGCTACTGCACTCATTATCCGATAACACAGCACTGCTCCAGTAAATTATGTAAACAGTTACAGGTTGCCCTCCAATTAAAGACCATTTTTGGGACCAGGGTTTCTATAGTCTTCAGCAGCTTTGGTCTCTACAATAATGAAAATAAGACATTTGTTAATTTGGGACCATAGAAAAGTGGTCTCTTATTACAGGTGGTCTTTAATTGGAGTGGTCTTTAATTAGGAGAACTTTATTTTTTAACTTTAGATAAATGTTTAAATCCAATCATTTTCTTACATATTTGTTGTATTATTCTGGTACAAGTGGAGTATGATTTTCAAGTAATCTAACCCCACATTGGTTATTTAACTGTATTTCCAAGATATTTTAACTTACTTTGTGGAAAAACTTGCATTTCAACAACCACTCTTATACTTTATTGCAATGCCCACATTAAACTCTTGTCAATTTGCATTTTTGTTGCAATACAGTAGATTCAATAAGGATTGCTTCTACACCTTACCCATAACAACTAATTTCAAACACACACACACATAAATGGAATGGAAAATCTTAAGTTAAGACATAACTTGAGTATTATCACAATATACATTTCCTTATAATTCATTCCGTCATATTCACCATTAATTAATGATTCTCGTCATCTTTGTCCTCTTTGAATAAAGGATCAATTTAATGTTTTTTGCAGATTTAATTTTATATCATTTTCGCCCATTCACAATCAACTTGCTAGTTATAGGTGAGAAACAAGAACACTGTTTTATGTACTACAGTATTCTAAGTCTAATAAGTGGAGTTGTTTTAAAAGATCATTGCATTTTTATAAAATTTGAAGTTAGGGCTCTTGGATTGGAAGAATGCAAACCACCAAGTAAAGCTCCTCTCATTTTTACATCATACTTAACATATTTTTTCTGCATTTCTGATCATCTTATTTATACGGCACCTATATTTTTGTTAAAATTATTGTTACAATTTTCGAATTTGTTATTAGCCACAAAAAACGGGAGCAATTTGCACGCTTTCATGTCTTTAAGGATGTGGAAAAAATTCGCACATTTTGTGCTGGTTTGCCTATCTATGGATCTAACTACCGGGGGTATTAACATTGCACTGATACGGAAGTGCACAGACACTTTTTTTTTCTTGGACTGTGAAGGTGCTTTTTAAAAATCACTCTACTTTTCTGTGATGGTTATTAAAGGAAAAACTACTACTGGCCAGAAACATCATTCCTGTGCATCTATAGTAAATCATCAAAAGTTCATTACCTAATTTATTAAGGAATAATCTAGGCATTATTATTAAATATATCAGAGATCATAAAATTTATGGTGATCAAGAAGTTTATACAGGATATCAATGTAATTATTTATAATACACTAATTATTTATAATAATTATAATATAGCTAAACTAACCCTATGTCCCAAATACTTATTGTGGTTCTACTACATGCATTGATATGTGTAAGTATATATATAACAATTATCTACAATATAATATTAAATCACTTCATCTCTTAATTAACTTTTAATTACAGACACCTTGTAATATCATGCAGTTAAAAAATACTATCAAACTTCTCATCAACTTATTATATAGTGAATTTGTCTGTGGCTTAAATGTATGTACAGTAGGATTTAAGTCTTGCTAAAGCCTGAGTCACAGTGATTTGGACATTTCCCCCATGAATCTACCACCATCCCCTTTTATGCAACTTTCATAGTGAATTTGGCACTCTCCAGGCCAAACACAGGTGGGTGAGATCCTCAGCAAAGTCAGTACACAGGAGACGACTTCACAAGGAATATTGATTCAGGGAAAGGGGATGGGAGGAATCCCTGTGACATGATCATTATATCAGACTCAACAAGGTATGAATGGAAATTTAATTGATAATGTACAGTATATGACTCAGTCAGACATATCAAATACATTGTATTGTGTCATTCTAGGCTTTTGGAGGTCAGACAAAGCTGTACTTTATCCATACTACATTGCTACAGTGTTCTCCCAAAGCCATTTTAGAAGTCAATTTTTCCGGTAAAATAACTAGCCAACCAGTAAAAACTTTTAGATTGTAAAAAAATAAAACCACTGATTAGGCCTAGGTAGTCTAGACTGGCCTTCTTTCAATAAATCAACATCAATCCCATCTATACCTAGGCTATGACTATGTGTTGTTGTTTAATCAAGTCATTAAACCCCACTCAAAAGGGATAACGCCTTCACTGTGTGCATACAGTAGCTGAATTTTTATTGATAAATTTACCAGTAAAAATGTTTCAATTGGGAGAACACTGCATACTATCAAATTTTATGTGACCAATTTGTGAGACTTGTACATACTGTATATGGGTATAATGTGAAACTATCATGCCCATATATGGGTATCATATGCCATCAACATGCCCATATATGGGCAATTTACCAAATTTGTCACATAAGGCTTGATGGTGTGGATAAAGCTTTGAAGTCTCAGATGAGACGTCAAGTATGTTCTGTTTAGCTAGTAAATTTGTTCTTGATATAGTGCTATGTGTCGATGAACAATTATATGCAGGAAAAAACAGTATCATACAGTAGTACACTTGATGGTGCAGGAATTTGCACTACAAGTCAAATTCACATTGTGGTCTAATCCAAGAAATCTTTCTTAGTACCAAAAGTTGTAAAAACATTTGTATTTCTTAAGTTGTAGTGTCAAATCAAAGATTATGTATTTCAGTATACAAAAAAGCATTTGGAATGAAATGTGTATTATAAACAAATTTTTTACATTAAAAAACTTTTTTTTAAGAACTTGTGAATTTCTATTCCAAATTGGCAGAAACCCGTAAATACTGTAGTTTGCAGGCTAATTTTAAAAAAGCAAGGTTAATTTTATGAATAATATTAGTGCAGGCACAACTGTTGTACATTGAATTTTAGGTGGATAGAAGAATAATTAAACTAATACACCATTGTATGAGAATTTCTTGGATACAAACACCAGTCTCATGGAATGAGGTAACTATGGTAACTATGAAAAGCAATATTATGTTAGGCCAGATTATTAAAAACACACACAGTTTGATATACGTACTGTATGTAATATAGAGCAATTATATTTAGAAATTAATGGTGATGATGATAATGATGTCAATGATGATAATGATCATGATGCTTAAGAAATTAATGTTATAATATTATCCTTCATATTATTAATATTATAATAATATTAATGCTAAATAAACTTACTGTATTTCTTTAGTGTAATTTAAGATTACTATATACTATGAATTTCTTGTTTTACGTACTATAATTACCAATGGTGTCTGAATGTTACATCACAATTGAACCTTTGGTTACAAGTACTTCAGTAACTGTATACAAAATCAAAATATTTCTTTTTTTAATAGCGTATAAAAAAATGAATTAAACATTTTCAAAAATATTAAACTTGTTAATAATTGCAGCTTCTAATTGAAGATAATTGAAAATTATTTTAAAAATAATATATAAAAATTGTTTTGAAATTCCAAAAACAAAATTAATATTACATAAATACATATCTGAAAATTAAAAAAAATCAACATTGATGTCCTCAACTTATGTCCCACTTTGGCAGACACGATCATATGTTCTAACTCTAACATTCACCGGGAGCTATTTTGCTACAAGTACTAGGATTTTTCAGGTATAGTAACTTCACATGTATCAGAGTACGGGATTTTATTTGTCACTGGTATGTATTCTTGTGCAATAACGTCACGTTCGCGTTCACAAGTGAATGGGTGGTACAATTTCATTGTTGCTGTGTACACAACAAAGGCAAGTGTTACACCAGCTAAACCGTCAACAAGATAATGATGACAAGTGTACATACTTGCCCATATTATCCAGCATACATGGAAAGCACCAAATCGGTAGCCAAACCAAGGCCTGAATAACATGACCACTGCTGGCCATGCCACGTGTAGACTAGGAAATGCACCAAACTTTACTTTTGACTTGCCATACAAGTTATGAAACAGTGGATATCCCAGCATAGCATCAACACGCTTAAATCCTGCTTCGTTTTCCGCGACCGATACAATATTCCCATGCTCGTCATACTGTACAGAATCCACAAACCATGGCGATGCTGTCGGACTAATAAGTTGAACAAGCACAGCGATAAAGTTGACCCAGCCAGCGATCCAAAGATAAAGTGGTACATCATGTCGTCTTCCGACATATATCAAATAGAGAGAAAACACCAATGGCAATATAAAATGGAACAGGTATGGAATGGCTGCTACAAAGTCTAGGACAGGTGTGGTATGGCTTGAGAGGATTTTGTGAGGATAGCAATGAAATAATGAGTGTTCTAACCATGGTAGGAATGTAGTGCTAACAGGTTTCTCGTCTAAGCCAATAAGTTTCTGTAGCTCATGGTAGAATGTAAATGTTACCAAGTATGCACCAAAAGGTATAAAGGAAAGCAGGATCTTGCCCAGGAGTGGTGTCCTGCGCGCACCGGTGAAACCACAGTGGACAATCGGAGCATTTTTTACAAAAGTTGTTACTTTGGACACAGCTGTACCTTGGGTCCAATGTATCCTAGGAGCCATGGTAATAAATTTGGAAGATTCAATCTGAAAGACATAAAATGTGTTATAAAGTAAATACTGAGTTCATAAAAAGTGTTGCTAAGAAAAGATGTATATTCTGATAAATTCTATTCAGATCATGTGAATTGATTTAACCAAAATGATAAAAAGGGATCTTGTTTTGAGAAGAAACATACTAAAGGTTTTTTTAAATTAAAATTTTTATGAATTTTAATTTATTCATTACTAAAAAAAATTTTCATAGTGATATTGTCAAAAGGTTGTTATACTGTATGTACAGTACTGTATTTAAAATGACAATGAAATGTATTTTAATAAAAAAAATATAATGCTACAGGGGATGACTGATTATGTATATGATCCTTAAAATAGCAAAAAACTTAGAATAGAATAAAGACTTGTAAAGTGTGTATAGGTGATATGTCAGATCATGCAGTGAACTATATAAGGGAATAACATTAAAAGAAACTATAATACTGCAAGAAATAATGGCTGGCTGGATTAAATACAAAACTGAAACAAATAAAATTTAATGGGAAAATTTTCAACAACAATTTCTTTGGCGTAATGAGAGTAAAACAACACTAACAGTTTGTCATAATTTTTGGTTTCTACTTTAGTTTTCCTTACAATTTAGTCCCTTTGTTCTTGAATTAACCTTTATTAAATAAAATTCCATTCACAAATTCAAGGCATCAGCCACTAACAAATGATCAGCAATTGTCCTATATAAAGCAGGGATACAAACCCTCACAATACTGGTTATTCCTGAAAGAATATAGATTTTATTTGCTTTAAAATTTAGTCTGGTTGAGAGCTGGAAGATTGGTGTTTCCAAAAGGGAAGGTATTAATGCACTCCTGTCAGAACAACTTGTACTACCCTTCCTAGAATCCCCAAGGTTATGCCACTGAAGTGCATACATTTTACAAGTTCAGGAAAATACTGCTGTGAATCCTACTGTACGTACATCCTGTTCAAAGCAGTGGCCAATACCACAACAAGTAAATTAAAGTTCATCTTGACCTAATTTGCCTTTACTCCCGAATAATCTTACAATTGAAGAGGACAATATTTTGGCTAATATAATAATTGGTATAAAAAAAATATCATTAAAAAAAACCCAAATTACCAGGATCAAATTACGCAAACCACTGCATGGAGTGACATGGAACTGTAGCCTTGTGGTTGAGGTGCATTCCTTCCAACCCCAGGGTCCTGGGTGCAACTCCTGTCAAAATTTGTTCCACTCCTTAAGACCCGGCCGCCAAGTCACTCAAATGTCTGCAATGCAGAGTTACAGTATAATCTGTACTATAATGGAGAGGATTAATACTGGCTCAACTTTAATGTACTTGATTATCCAACTATTTTGGCTTTGTAATTTCCTGCAGTAGATCCAGATTGGCATTTTTTAAAGCTCAAATTGTTAAATCTCCTTAACCTAAAAAATAACCACAGAGATTCTGATCGTAAATTCCTAATTTGACTTTCAATATATTTTGTGACAATAAGTTAAAGAAAAAATGATTGATAAATGTATTGCCACAGCATTGTAATAATTATACAGTTAGATACTGGACACTCTAAAAGGTTATAAAAATATGACTGCTTGATTATATTGCTTTTAATTTGTTTTCTGTACAGAACATGCAGTAGTAGTGGGCTACAGCAAGCCTACCAGTGGTGACTCCAGAAAGTTGGGGATGACACAAACATTTGTTCAATGGTAAACAATGATCAATACATCAACCATAATTTATTTTAGAATACAATTTTTTTCCTTGGTGACAGAATAACTTTTGATTATGCAACCATAAAGTGCTTATAAATATAAATCATTTTTTTTTAATTAATAAATTAAAAAGAAAAGACACACATTTAAACTTTTGTGCACTGATTGCAAATCATATTGCAAGGTTTACTACCTGTCTCTTATACACATCTCCCCTTCACATTCAAGTGGGCCCATGAATTGATAAAATAGCATATCACATTTGCATACAAATATTTTACTAAATAATAATCTGATTTTAGAGTTAGATTATGGATTCCAGAATATGAGTACATTTTCAGTGATGATGTTTAAAATGTTGGTAGAACTGGATTTGCCAAAAAAAAAAAAAAAAAGGATTGTGAAATATTGTCACAATTAAATTTACTCACATTTAACCAAGTTAGCATTGGTTTTGTTTTGGGCTTACTGTAATTCAAAGTTCAAATTTACATGTATAGTACTTGTGCTTTGAATCAAAAATGTCAAAGATTAAACCTTTAATCGTTGATACTGATAGACCGACCTGCAAAATTATTAAAGATGATAAGATAGTATAATACATACTCCAAGTATCGAAGTGCATGCCATCGTGTCGGGATTCAATATTTTGACATTAATTACGTCATCATAATGATGACATAAGCGTGCATTTCGATACCTGGAGTAAGCATTATATTATCTTATCTGAGATTAATCAGACCTTTTGGTTTAAAGATGATAATGTTAAAGATAAAGGAAGACCAGCAAGAACAATAGTGTAACCCCGGCCCTATTGAAAGGTACATGGTGTAACCTTGATCCAGTGTGAATGGACCTGGAAGCAACGTATGAAAGGTATTGATTTTGTGTGAATGTGTGTCAATAACCTACTGTAGTGAAAACAGTGTGTTACCCAAGTAGCCGAGTTTTGAACTTTCACTTCATTTGCTTCAAATGATGTTACACAATATGACAGAATAGGACTGCTATATCCTGGTGCTGTTAGCAAAATGTAAATTCAATTTACGGCAGTATAAAATATTTTGAATTTAATGATGAAACAGGCCTTGCCATAGAACTAGAAGGAAGAGAACTGTCAGTAGTAGAGTAGAAAACCAAGTATCTCCAGCAGACCAAAACAACTTTACAGTATGCTCATCACAGTAGTGTACCAGAAGTAGAAAACATTTGGAGCAAAATTCCATCATTGTAAAATGTGTTAATGATTTCTATTGACACCTTGAGAATAATTCTTATTATACGGTTTGGTTATATAGACATTAAATATGTTAGGGTCTATAGTATGAATGGAATAGTGGCTTGGTAGTTATTATCCCTGCCGTCTTTTCCCTGGGTCCAATTGATTCAAATTATGTCATTTACAGCATTCTTTTTCTCATCCAACCAAAAACAACTTCTAATTACATCTTGTTCGCTCCTTATTTTACGCAGTATAAATACATAACTTCACACTTAAGCCTCAAGTTCACAATATGTAGAGCATCATGTGTTGTCAATGAAGAAAATACTTTTATAAGTGAGGGGTTGTATGAACTGTGACTTAGCATGAATTTGGTATACAATACATCAACAATAACCCTTAGAAAATCTACACTGCCAGGAACTCACTGGTGTGAAAAATACAGCCCCAAGTGTATTATTTAGCAAACTAGGCTTTCAATCACAAAGACACACTGTACATACAGAGAGCTGTATGAGAGAGGCCATATAATTTTGTACACTTTGACAGGTTGGTTATCCCATCAAGGAATAAGATTATTCCACCATTGTTATTCCTACTCTCATGGATGTTGACAATACTTGATAGAATTCGTAATACTACTATAGAAATCATACTTGAGGGAGTTTTATTTTATTAAGGAACAAGCTTTCATGCACACAGTGGACTGCTCCTTGCGCATTTAAATAATTTTCAATTACTAGATGAAAAGAACGCGTGGCACACAAGGAAGCAATTCTCTACAATTCCAAAAAAATTTATTCTTATTATATGTGGTACAAAGGTTAATTTTTTTTTCTTTATTATAAAAGGAAATTATATTATTTCAAGGTTTAAAAAATATAAGAGACACATTGACAAAAAAAGGTTATGGTTTGATAATTGTCTAGAAAACATTGTAGACTGAAAAGCAATATAGTGTCACTCATTCCAATAACAATTGTATGTTACAAAGGTTGAGGTTTCTCAATGGTCATCAGTAGGCCTACTACATAAGAATTATTATTTTCTTTCAAGGTTTACTACAGTACTTTAACAGAAGCACATCACCAAAATAATATATATTTTATTAATATTATAAAAATTTATTTTATTTTGATTATACTTTTTTTTAAAATTATATTTTACATTTTTATTTATTTTTTTAATTTTTTTTTTTTTATATGTGAATACATTTATGATAATTGTAATGGCTTAACAAGGCAACAGTAATAAGCCAAAGAAAGGTTCATTGAAACCATCATAACAAATAATTTTGTGTTGTACTAGGATACAAAAGTATTTTTCTTTCAATGTTGATAAAATAAACAACACACAATACATATTTCAACAATATTTAATTAAAACCATCCTTTAAGAAATGAAACATCTCATTGTATATGTTAGTAAATGTGGGGCATAAAAATAATAGTCACTGGTTAACTTATTAAAATAATAGGTATAGTGTGGTAACCCAGAGCTACTTTCAGTCAAAGTCACACGAACTGTGCACTGTTATATTTACACAAATGAAATTTTGTAATGCCACAAAAATGAGTGGTTTAATGCCTAACTGTTTGTTCTTAAAAAAAAAAAAAACACTTTTAAATAATTGAAACAAAAAAATCAGTCAGATAAAGAGAATTAAAAAGAGCGCGAATGTAGATTATGTGGGGTAGGCATCAGCATTCGTGATATTGTTTTCTGCAATTGGTTGGTTACATAAATGATTGGATTAGACTGGATTTGTTTGGTGTGAACACCTAGGACAACCCACAAATGTACATAAGACTTAATGCCAGTGGGCTCTTCCGGTTATGATTGGGCAGTCACTAGGAGTGTACTGTGTTCAATGGCTACCACCAGCTTAACCAACCACAAGCTACAGTATGCTGATGCCATGACGTTGCCAAATAATATTACTGGTTCGGACAACTCCGTCGGACATGTCAGATCTCTTGTCTGCAAATTTCTGGAGCCACCGCTGTTAACAATGCAGGTCTACTACTGTAGATACTGTACTGTAGGCCTATGTTAGGTTGGTGGTGGGATGGCAGCATGTTATCACAGATGAGCATCTATACTGACGTTTCTTACACAAGGCATACAATACATTAACTGGTTTGAAAATAGGTATGCATAATCCATTATTAGTATACTGACCTTATTTGACTTGAATTTTATTATATTATTTTTGATTAGGTATTTAAGGCATTTCATTTCAGAAAAATAAACATTAAAATTGTAAACTGAAAAATCATTAATGTAGTAAAATTGACAATACACAGACACTGAGACAGGCCTACAGTAGGCCTAACATAACAACATAAGCTCAGGGTTACAAACGAAACAATACAATTATTACACATACTGTAATGACAGATTAGACCTAGTCTAAGGCCTATCCCCACTAAACTACTACTGTACTACTGTAGGCCTAGGGCCTAGCCTAGGCCTCCTACCTAGGTAGTCCTATCTATAAATATAGGCCTAAGTTCAGCAATGCTGTCGGCAACGATTGTTGAATGTGACCTTACTTCGTCGATGAAGGTTAAGCCTAGGGTAGGCCTAGCTAACTATAGGCTAGTTAATATTTAGTAGGGCCTAGCCTAGGTCTAGACCGGCCCAGGCTAGACTACAGTAGGCCAAGGAATCGCGTCTCTATGGGCCTTACCCGCCTAGAGAGAGCAGGCTAGGCCTAGCCTAGGCCCTAGGCCTAGTAGTAGTAGTATGTAGTAGGCAACAATTGATATTAGCGTAACGAAAGTCAAAGACAACTTACCTAAAATGAGAAAACAATAATAAACTGAAAATAACAGTGTTCATGTAATTCAGTCCATTGCTTTGGGTATTCTTATTCATTCATTTTCACTACGTTGTACTCCGTTAGTAGATCACGAAAGTCTGATGATCGTTTGCGTTTTGCAATAACATCGCGTAAACGGCGGCGTAGGCGTGGTTGGTGAGCGTATGGTGGTAGATCGGATCCATTGAATACACCTACTATCATAGATAGAGTACCTGGGCCGTTTTTGTATCCTATGTTTTTAATACAATTATTCAAACGGCATAATGCAAATAAGTCAGGCCAATATTGGACTGATATAGCTTTGTCTACACTGTCAAATTTTATGTGACAAAAAAATGTGATGTGCCAATATATGGGTACGATGACGTCATATCACATATCATCAAATTGTATCAAAAAAAAGTTGAACGTGTTTAACGGATGATAAACTAATAATTTTTTTTATCCGGGGGCCTTATATCAAATTTTATGTGATGCTTTTTTGATGAAATTTTATAGTGTAGACAAAGCTTATGAATATATTTTGTCACAAGAGATGGCACAAGATTTAGATAATTTACGTCTATACCTCATTGAAAATTATGATGCGCTGGCGATTCATAAGAGGAGATGGCAATGAGTCTACGTTTTGATTTACATGCGTAGTAGGCCTACTATGCCATATTTAAATATTTAATGATATTTTGTTGATAATAGGCCTATTTAGAAATGTATTTCTTTTCTTATCTTTATTCATCATTATTGGAAATCCGTGATTTTCAGTGTAGAAATGGAGAGACATGATGATGACATAATTAATGTCGAAATATTGAATCCCGACACGATGGCGTGGATTTCGATAATTGGAGTAGGCCTGCATCTTAAATGGAGAGACCGGGCCAGTCCCGGTGCCAGCAATAAATTCAGTAATATCTCCACATTCCATCAACGGGTCTCATACCCGAATATTTTATTATAAATTGTATTTATTATTTCTTACCATCAAAATAATTTGGACTGATTGGGATATAGGCCTATATCAAACGTTTTCAAAGGAACCGCATTGAAAAATAAAAATAGCCTAATAGTTGCTCTAAAAATATAAAATAACTGCAACACTAGGCCTGTACATTTCAAATAGGCCTTCTAAATTGGTTTATATAAGATTTGAAGAGAAGGGACGCAGGAATTTTAACCAATAGGCCTTCTCTGCTGGGGCCCGAGCGTAAGAGATTTTAATGTTTTATGTGTACTGGGCCCTCTGGGAGAACAGTAACTTCTTACTGAAGAGGTAACCCAGTATAAAGAATAAAAAATTTAAAGCAAACGCGGCCTACCCTGGCCAAACTTTAGTTTGCCTTTGGTTCAAAATAAAAAGTCGACGGGAAAGTTCACAGCTTATTAGCAGTGGCGTATCTAGGGGGAGGGGTGCGCACACCCTCCAAAATTACTCGCAACTCCCAGTCGCACCCCACCCCCACCCCAAAAAAATCACTAAACTCATATTATTTTTTTCAATTGATCATCGAGACCCACCCCCCACCCCAACTTCACCTTTTCACCACAGCTTCACGCTGCCCCATCAGCGCCACCATTTCAAGAGTTCTAGATACGACACTATAAAGTTTTCGAACCCTTCTCCCGCCATATCTGAGCTGTCACACCGACGACATACAGACAGATCCATTCCGTTATGCACTCATCCATTAATCAATTCTGATGACGTCATAATAGTTATACAGCTGTAGAGTGGGTAGGCTATATAATGCTCTATATGAATACAAGTTATTATGTATTAATGCTTGCGGTACAACACGTAGATAGTTCTGAAAAGAACTGTTGCTGTTGGTTGAGAATATCTCAATTTATTAAGAAAAAGAGTGTAAGTTACCTTTCAAATTTATTGTTGCTTAATTATTGTAGTACGGTATGACGATGATTCACCCTACTGAACTTCTATTCTCTTTATCAGATTTTAAAAAGAAACCTATTTATGTTGAACCACCACACCGGTAGCAGGACTGGTTGAAATATTGTAAAATTTAAACTATTTTAATGTAAAATTCTTTGGTGTTAAATACGTTATGTTTTTAATTTACGTTATTTACACCACTTTTGAGAGCCACCTGACAGTAGGCCCAATTAATTTTACTTTTTTGGCAATCCTGCATATATGTTGGCTTATAATTTTGTTGTTACGGCCAATCTGGGAGAGGTATCCCCCACCCCCGGAAAAACCACAATTTGTCGGGGAAAACAAAAAGTATATATATTTTCTATATATTTAAACTATAGACTCTATCTAAATCGATTAAATAAGCCTTTGATACCCCTAAATTGTAATATTTTTGGGGGGATTCGGCGACTGGACCACTTTCGAAACATTTTGAGCGACGCCCGACCACGCCCACTCTGGTCGTGGACATCGCCCCCCCCCCCCAATGCCGAGCAACCTACATCTTTGTATTTTGTATGTATAATTACAGAATAAGTGAAATGATATGAAATGAAATATTCTCCACTACAGATTGAAGGATACCAACAAAAGTTGTCCGGCTTGGAACGAAAATGTAGTACAGGTACAATCCTTTTCTTTTATTAACGAATTTTTTTTAGTAGGCTTAAATGGATTTTTTGTAACCAAAAAGTGTATAAATTATCAGTGAAAAAATGTTTGGCTCGATCTGTCTTAATAACTTTAATCTATTTTAATGAGCTATTCAGTAAAATTATTTTTACAGACTACAGACGGTATTAATTGAGCATTGACCGGACATTCGTATCATTGACAACAATGGAAATAGATATAGCGCCCCCTATAACTTAACTTATTTAGCGATCATTTTAATGTATGAAAGCTTCTTTAATTTATTGAATTTATTCGATGCTCGACATGCACATACAAGATAAAACATGATTTTTGAACAAGAAAATTAAAAAATACCATCAGGAACGCCTATTAGGCCGGAATCAAGCCCATTCCCAAAGAGGTCCAAAATTTCACATTAAAAAAATGAGTATAAAAACATTGAATTAAAAAAATTGACATAAAAATACCGGATTATATAACATTTTAAAAGACATATATTGAATTGTACATAATTAAAATTTAAGTTTAATAGGTTACATCAAGAACAATTAAAATGTACATGGTCAACAGCACCAGAAAATGTTAATTTAGATAGTGTTCAGAAACCAAAAGTGGAATAATTAAACTGATCAATTGCATTTAAGTACTGTTTTGTTCAAAATATTTTTTAATATGTGAATTGAATGTAGTACTTTAATTGCTAAGAAGAATGTAGAATGAGACTATATTTCCTATTATAAGTCAATCGTGACGTCATCACTGCAACTCCGAATGTTATTCGCCTACCTCCCCACAATACAATAATTTTTCAGATAGCGTACGCCTGGCTTGAAAACAACTTTTACAGTATGTATCGCGCACCGCCATGAAAATTGAATTGCAATTGAAAATTACTTTCATAAAACAAGGTTGATTAAAAGAAGAAAGTTCTTCAAATTCAATAAAGTATGAACAGTTAAGGAAGTGTACTCTGTGCTGACGAGTGTTGCATAAAATAAATTTCAGATGTACGTCTAAAATGTTTATCAGAGATATGTGATTTTATGAACATTGCAAAGCCTAAGCCCATAGTTTTATCAGAAATTCTTCAAACCTGGCCACAATGTTCCTTTACCAAAGATATATAGTTGATTAAATTGTGAAGGGTCAGGATCAAAGTTCAAGGTCACAATCAACGAAAAACTATTTTTGTTTTATGTATTTGTCTACAGTCCATAGTTTTCATCACAAACTTGTCAAACTAGGTCACAATGTTCCATGACCAAAGATCTCAGAGTATTGATTGAGAGAGATTGAATGTTGAAGGTCCAGGGTCAAAGGTTAAGGACACAATCAGCAGTTTTTATCAGAAACTCGTCAAACTTCACCACAATGTTCCATGACCAAAAGTTTGAATGTGACAAAATTTTGAATGTTTAGGGTCAAAGGTCAAGGTCACAAGCAACAAACATTATATTCTTTTTATCAGAAACTCGTCAAACTTGGCCACAATGTTCCATGACCTGAAAGACCTGGATGTGACTAAATTTTGAAGGTTTAGGGTCAAAGGTCAAGGTCACAATTAACAAAAAAAATTATTCTTTTTAACAACTCGTCTGTTCTATGTTCTATGATCAAAGATTTGGAAGGGATCATATTTTGAAGGGTCAGAGTCAAAGGCCATGGACACGATGATCGATAAACTACTTGTATAACGGTGTGCCGTGTGGACGTGTGTGTTTGTGCTTAAAAGGGTTTGCCAGTAAAGTATAAACAAACATATGATCATTAGGTTCGAAGTAATTATGTGAAAACAGTTCGGTGTAGTGGTGGAAGAGTGTTTTCCACACTACCGACCCCGGCTTCAAATCATAGGTGTCTACTTGTTGTTTGTTTTTTCATGGGGACAATATGCGTGGGAAATTTATACTGAGGAAAATTATGATGTGGGCGGAGGTACAGCTCATATGCATTCTCTGAACGTCGACTAGTTCACTCTATTATAAGGGACAATAAATACAGTATAGCAAATACTATTTACAGTGCGGACCTTTTTTGGCAAAACAATCAGGAAGATAATGTCAGCATTATGTTTTCCAGTTTTGTTGAAGTATTTAACGTATGTTGGCCACCTAACGTCAAGGAAGTTCAAAATAACTCTATCAATCATACTTTACATCTACAATCTTGGTGATAAAACACTATATTTCAGGCTCAAAATTTTCTTATTTTGTGCTTTTCAAATAGATTTTCTAGAGCAGTATTACTGTACTGCATTAGGCCTACAGGGTATATAGTCACACTTACTGCACATAGGTACATATAAGATTGGTTGGTTTTCTATTAAAAAATAAACAAAACCTCATTTGAAATTTTACCTCAGTCTCAATTTGTTCTCATTTTGTTATAATTTCTTAAGCAATTTCAGCATCAGTGTTCGTATAATATGTGTTCTTATAAAAAAAGTTTATATTATTAATTGAAAATGAGCTTTCTAGCAATTTTACTTCCTTCTTCATTTTAAATAAGGTTCTGGCGTTTTAAATTCTCCTAAGTATATCGTTTTGCACATACTTAAAGTATTTGAAAAACG